AAAGGCATTCAAATAGGAAAAGAAGAAGTCAAACTATCTCAACTATCTCTCTTCACTGATAATATTATTCTTTTTTTAAAGAGTAAAATACTCTAGTATATTTACTATTGTAGCACTTTTTGTGGTAAAATATATATATATAATTTTAAATAATATACATTTTTTAAAAATTCTACTTTGGGCTCTGGGGTACATGTGGCCATCCTGCATCCTGCAGGATTGTTGTATAGGTTCATACATGCCATGGTGATTTGCTGTCTCCATCCCCCACTCCCATCGCCTGTATCAGGCATTTCTCCCAGTGTTAGGTGTAATCTTTTCCCATCCTCCCCATCCCCCCGCCCTCCCTCCTCTCCACCCCTGCACCTAGCCCAGTGAGTGTTGTTCTCTTTCCTGTGCCTAAGTGTTCTCATTGTTCATCACCCACCTATGAGTGATAACATGGAGTGTTTGGCTTTCTGTTCTTGTGTCAGTTTGCTGAGAATGAAGTTTTCTAGATTCATCCATGTCTCTACAAAGGACATGGACTCATCATTTTTTATGGCTTCGTAGTATTCCATGGTATATATATGCCACATTTTCTTTGTCCCATCTATCATTGATGGGCATTTGGGTTGGTTCCAGATCTTTGCTATTGTAAACAGCACTGCAACAAACATACATGTCCATGTGTCTTTATAACAGAACAATTTATAATCCTTTGGGTATATACCTAGCAATGGGATTGCTGAGTCAAATGGAATTTTTATTTCTAGATCCTTGAGGATTTAGCACACTGTCTTCCATAATGATTGAACTAATTTACACTCCCACCAAAAGTGTAAAAGTGTTCCTTTTTCTCCACATCCTCTCCAGCATCTGTTGTCTCCAGATTTTTTAATGATCACCATTCTAACTGGAGTGAGGTGGTATCTCAACGTGGTTTTGATTTGCATTTCTCTAATGACCAATGATGATGAGCATGTTTTTATGTTTATTGGCCACATATATGTCTTCTTTTGAAAAGTGTCCATATCCTTCACCCACTTTTAAATGGGTTTGTTTGTTTCTTTCTTGTAAATCTGCTTTAGTTCTTTGTAGCTTCTAGATATTAGCCCTTTGTCAGATGGGTAGATTGCAAAAATTTTGCCCCATTCTGTTGGTTGCCGGTTCACTCTAATGATTGTTTCTTTTGCTTTGCAGAAACTCTTAAGTTTAATTAGATCCTATTTGCCTATTTTGGCTTTTGTTGCCGTTGCTTTTGGTGTTTTAGTCATGAAGTCCTTGCCTGTGCCTATGTCCTGAATGGTGTTGCCTAGGTTTTCTTCTAGGGTTTTTATAGTGTTAGTTCTTATGTTTAAATCTTAATCCATCTGGAGTTAATTTTAGTGTAATGTGTCAGGAAGGGATCCAGTTTCAGCTTTTTGCACATGGCTAGCCAGTTTACCAATACAATTTATTAAACAGGGAATCCTTTCCCCATTGTTTGTTTTTGTCTGGTTTGTCAAAGATCAGATGGTTGTAGATGTGTGGCATTGTTTCTGTGGCCTCTGTTCTGTTCCATTGGTCTATATCCCTGTTTTGGTACCATGCTGTTTTGATTACTGTAGCCTTGTAGTATAGTTTGGAGTCAGGTAGAGATAGAGAAGCAAGGTAAAAAAAAAACTCAAAAGCAAACAGAAGACAAGAAATAACTAAGATCAGAGCAGAACTGAAGGAGCTAGAGACACAAACACCCTTCAAAAAATCAGTAAATCCAGGAGCTGGTTTTTTGAAAAGATTAACAAAATAGAACACTAGCTAGACTAATAAAAAAGAAAAGAGGGTGGATCACAAGGTCAACAGATCGAGACCATCCTAGTCAACAAGGTGAAACCCCATCTCTACTAAAAATACAAAAATTAGCTGGGCATGGTGGTGCGCACCTGTAGTCCCAGCTACTCGGGAAGCTGAGGCAGGAGAATTGCTTGAACCCAGGAGGCGGAGGTTGCGGTGAGCTGAGATCATGCCATTGCACTCCAGTCTGGGTAACAACAGCAAAACTCCATCTCAAAAAAAAAAAAAAAGAAAAGAAAAGAAAAGAGAGAAAAATCAAATAGATGCATTAAAAAATGATAAAGGGCCAGGGGCAGTGGCTCACACCTGTAATCCCAGCACTTTGGGAGGCCGAGGTGGGTGGATCACAAGGTCAAGAGATTGAGACGATCCTGATCAACAAGGTGAACCCTGTCTCTATTAAAAATACAAAAATTAGCTGGGCATGGTGGCGCGTGCCTGTAATCCCAGCTACTCAGGAGGCTGAGGCAGGAGAATTGCCTGAACCCAGGAGGTAGAGGCTGCAGTGAGCCGAGATCGCACCATTGCACTCCAGCCTGGGTAACAAGAGCGAAATTCAAAAAAAAAAAAAAAAAAAAAAGATAAAGGGGGGGATCACCACCGATTCCTTGGAAATACAAACTACCATCATAGATTACTATAAACAGCTCTATGCATATAAACCAGTAAATCTGGAAGAAATGGATAAATTCCTGTACACTTGCACACTCCCAGACTAAGGCAGGAAGAAGTTGAAACGCTGAATAGACCAATAACAAGATCTGAAGTCGTAGCAGCAATTAATAGCCTACCAACCAAAAAAAAAGTCCAGGTCCAGACAGGTTCACAGCTGAATTCTACCAGTCATACAAAGAGGAGTGGGTACCATTCCTGTTGAAACTATTCCAAACAATACAAAAAGAGGGAATCCTCCCTAACTCTTTCTATGAGACCAACATCATCCTGATACCAAAACCTGACAGAGAAACAACTAAAAAAGAAAACTGCAGGCCAATATGTACAATGAACATAGATACAAAAATCTTCAATAAAATACTGGCAAACTGAATCCAACAGCACATCAAAAAGCTTATCCACCAAGATTGAGTAGGCTTCATCCTGGCCATGCAAGTCTGGTTCAACATACACAAATCTATAAATGTAATCCACCACATAAACAGAACCAAAAACAAAAACCACATGACTATCTCAAAAGATGCAGAGGCCCTCAACAAAATTCAACAGCCCTTTATGCTAAAAACTCTCAATAAACTACATATCGATGGAATGTATCTCAAAATAATAAAAGCTATTTATGACAAACCCATAGCCAATAGTGAATGGGCAAAAACTAGAAGCATTCCCTTTAAAAACTGGCCCTAGACAAGGATGCCCTCTCTCACCACTCCTATTCAATATAGTATTAGAAGTTCTAGCCAGAGCAATTAGGCAAGAAAAAGAAATAAAATACTCTAGTATAGAGTATAGTATATAGGCATTCAATTAGGAAAAGAAAGAGTCAACTTGTCCCTATTTGCAGATGACATGATCATATATTTAGAAGACCTCATCATCTTAGCCCAAAACCTCCTCAAGCTGATAAGCAACTTTGGCAAAGTCTCAGGATACAAAATCAATGTGCAGAAATCACAAGCATTCCTATACACCAACAACAGACAAACAGAGAGCCAAATCATGGGCAAACTCCCATTTACAACTGCTACAAAGAGAATAAAATACCTAGGAATACAACTAACAAAGGATGTAAGAAATCTCTTCAAGGACAACTACAAACTACTGATCAAGGAAGTAAGAGAGGACATAAACAGATGGAAAAACATTCCATGCTCATGGTTAGGGAAGAATCAATATTGTGAAAATGGCCATACTGCCCAAAGTAATTTGTAGATTCAATGCTATCCCCATCAAGCTATCATTGACCTTCTTCACAGAACTGGAGAAAAACCACTTTAAACTTCATATGGAACCAAAAGAGAGCCTGCGTAGCCAAGACAATGATAATATTATTCTTTACTCAGAAAACCCCAAAGAGTCTTACAAAAGGCTACTAACTATAGCTGTAAGCAAGGTTTCAGGATACAAAATCAATGTACAAAAAACCAGTAGCATTTCTACAAACCAATAACATCCATAGTGAGATTCAAATCAAGAACACAATCCCATTGACAATAGCCACAAAATAAAATAAAATAAAATAAAATACCTAGGAATACAGCTAAAAGAGGAAGTGAAAAAATCTCTAAAAGGAGAACTACAAAACACTGCTAAAAGAAGTCAGAGACAACACAAATAAATGAAAAAACATTTCATGCTAATAGATAGGAAGACTAAATATTGTTAAAATGGCCATACTACCTAAAGCAACTTACAGATTCAACACTATTCCTGTCAAACTAACAATGTCATTCTCACAGAACTAGAAAAAACTATTCTAAAGTTCATATGACCCCATAAAAGAGCCTGAGGAGCCAAAGCAATTCTAAACAACAACAACAACAAAAAAAACAAAGCTGGAGACGTCGCACTACCTTGTGTAGTATGTGTGTGTGAGTGTGTGTGTGTGTGTGTGTGTAGTGTAGTGTAATTTGTAGTTGACCATCATTTATTTGTGCAATTGGTGTAATTAAATCTAATTATGTAAGTTCCAGTACCATTTTGTTTTGGTTACTGTAGCCTTATAGCATAGTTTGAAGTCAGGTAGTGTGATGCCTCCAGTGGACCTGAACAGAGAACACAGAAATAAAGTCACATACTTACACCAACCTGATCTTCAACAAGTCTGACAAAAGCAAGCAGTGGGGAAGGGACTCTCTATTAAAGGGACTCTTACCTTTCACCATGCACAAAATATAACTCACAATGGATTAAAGATATAAATATAAGACCTCAAACTATAAAGTCCTGGAATAAAACCTAGGAAATACCCATCTCAACATCAGCCTTGGCAAATAATTTTTTACTAAGTCCCTAAAAGCAACTGTAACAAAACAAAACTTGACAAGTAGGACCTAATTAAACTAAAGAGCTTCTGCACAGTAAAAGAAACTATCACCAACATAAAAAGACAACCTATAGAATGGGAGAAAATATTCACAAACTACTGCATCTGACAAAGGTCTAATAACCAGAATCTATAAGGAACTTAAAAAAATTGACAAGCAAAAAGCAAATAATCCCACTAAAAAAATGGACATAAGACATGAACTGACACTTCTCAAAAACAGACATGCAAGTGGCTAACAAACATGAAAAACTGCTCATCATCACTGATCATCAGAGAAATGCAAATTTAAACCACAATGAGATGCCATCTCACACCAGTTATAAGGGCTATTACTAAAAAGTCAAAAAACAACAGATACTGTCAAGGCTGCAGAGAAAAGGGAACATTTATACCATGTTGATGGGAATGTAAATTTGTTCAGCCAATGTGGAAAGCAGTTTGGAAATTTCTCGAAACACTTAAATCAGAGCCACCATTCAACCCAACAGTCCCATTACTGGGTGTAAACTCAAAGGAAACTAGATCATTACACAAAAGAAAAAGACACATGCACCTACATGCTCACTGCCATGCTATTTCACAGTAGCAAAGACATTGAATCAACCTAGGTGCCCATCAATGCTAGACTGAATAAAGAAAATGTGGTACACAGACACCATGGAATACTATGCAGCCATAAAAAAGAGTGAAATCATGTCTTGTTCACAACATGAATGGAGCTAGAAGCCATAATCCTAAACAAATTAATACAGAAACAGAAAACCAAATACTACATGTTCTCACTTATAAGTAGGAGCTAAGCACTGAGCACACATGGACATAAACATGGGAACAATATATACTATTGACTACTAGAGAGGAGAGGGAGGGGACCGTGGGTTGAGAAACTACCTATTGGGCACCATGCTCATTACCTGGGTGCAATCTAGTCACATAACAAACCTGCCCATGTACCCCCTGTATCTAAAATAAAAGATGAAAATTAAAAAATATATTCTTAAAAGTAGTAAATGTATATTACTTTTAATTATGAAATACCAACTTGTTATGTTCTCTCTTTCCTCCTCTCCCTCTCCTGCTCAGTGTCTCTTGCTCTTTTCTCTCTTGCTGTCTTCTCTTCCCCCTTCCTCATTAAGCTGTATGGTTAAGGAAATGAGAGCAATCTCTGCTTCAGGCACAGCCAAGAGGAATCAGTCCTCTTGACTCTGACATCTTCAATTCCTACTACCACACTTTGTCAGAGGAAAAAAAATGTCAGGAAACTTCCAGACAAGATGATTCCCTGACATTATCCTTAAAGATCTATCCAAATCACATTATTCCTTTCACTTGCTAATTGGTTTCATAAGCCTTTTTCCTTTCCTTATATTTTCCATTCTTGTGTTGGGGACAATTGCCGACGTACGCATAGTTCTGGATTTTAAGTAATTTATAGTTGACGATCGTTTATTTGTGCAATTGGTGTAATTAAATTTAATTACATAATTGGTGAAAGACTGAGTAATCACATAATTAGAATGTGCAATAATAACATTAAAATCCTATTGTTATGACGTGTAATGATACAATCATGATGTGTAACATTCACAGGGTACTCAGCAAAGAGCAAAACCAGCTCTAACCCTGTCTGCATGAAGCACAGCTAAGGTTGGAGACCTGGAATGTAGCTTTCAGCAGCTAGACTTGGACTTGCTAATCATCTTTATCCCCCTAATATAACCTTTAACTTTTATGCTCCACAGGAATCAAAGGCAGTAGGGGAGGCGTAAGGAAGGTCCTCATGAGGGCAGGAGAACCCACATCTCAAGAACCAAATCACCAATACAACTAGCCCTTAGACAGAAAGGACCAGCAAGAGATGGACTCACATTTCTGAAACAGTCATTCCTGCATGTCAGTTTTAAATTTGAAATTGTAATCAGGGCACAAAAAGATAGGGTTGGAAAACGTCTGGTGATCACACACACCAGATCCTATTGTTTTTATTTTAAGTAATATTGAAGCCTGCCTCAGTCAAGCCCTCCCTCCACTTGATAGGTTTTCTCTTTCAAAGAAATCAGTAACATCCCTGTTGCAAACTCCACAGAAGACCCTGGACCCTTACTTTCCCTCTATCTCAACAGTGCTTGGCAATTGGCCACTCCCTCTGCCCGAAACCCCCTCCTCCCTAGGCTTCTTTCATCTCCTTGCCCTGAGTGTGCCCTTCCTCAGTTTCCCATACACAACTGCAAGGGGGCCTAGCGATTATGGCCTGGGACATAGCTCTCAGCTTGTAGTCTGCCCTCTCCGCCCCAACTCCAGTCATCTTAATCACCGGGACATAGACCAACCACCAGAAGTGCTGGCCTCCCGTTCCTTGTTCTGCTGATCGTTGGTGACCCTTTCCCTTCCTTCCTGCATGCCACACACCCACTCCTGTGATCTTGCTTTGGACCTGATAAAAGCAGCAGCTACAATGTTTCTGATATCTTGGCTGCAAACACCCATTCTTCAATAGCAACCCCTCATCCTTGTGCTTGCCTGTTCATGTGCTTCCCATCGGCACCTTTCCTCAGCCTCAGAGAAATCTCTAAATTCTGGATATCTCCCCCAACATCCCACCCCTGGCTAACCATCTGCCCCCTGCCCAGCCTCGCAACCCTCCTTGTCCAGCCTAATTCTTAGAGTCCACCATTGCCATCACTCCTGGGCAGCACCCTCCCTTCCTAACAGAAGCCCCCAGCCCTGCTTCACACCAGTCCTGGAAAGCTGAAAGTTCCTAAATAAAACCACACAAGGAAAATGACTAGTTTGGCTTTAAATTCATGATCCCAAACTGCAAATTGACACTCCATACTGACTGGCAAACTGCTGTTTTTCTTGAATTGGTTTGCTTTCCAATTTTCAAGGTCTCTATTTCACAGTTTTTCTTCTCTCCTCCAAACTCCTATGTTCTTTTCTGCACCACCAAGCTCAGTGGATGGCCTCGCCTCACCATGTCATTAAAAGTCACATAAAAGAATCAGGCTGGTTACACTTTTTTTCCTACCAGTAGCTCTCCAACACTGCACTCACAGGCACCCAGCACATCCTCTGCCTCTTCATTCATAACACACCATGCCCTTCACAATCTTTCCGCCCTGTACTAACTATACTGTGTTGCTATAGCAAGCTCTCCCTTGCAGCTGGAGGTCTGCTACCAAAATAGAGGCTTGCTCTACTGTCCTCCATAGCCAACCACATTTCTAGAGACTGCTCCAGGCTCCATCTTTTATCCCACTTCCATCAGGCCCTCCCTCCACTCGTTAGGTCTTCACTGTCAAAGAAACCTGTGGCAAACGCCACAGATGACCCTGGACCCTTACCTTCCCTCTGTTTCAGCAGCACTTGGCAACTGGCCACCCCTCTGCCTGAAACCCTCTCCTTAGGCTTCTGCCATCCCCTCGCCCTGGGTGTGCCCTTCCTCAGTTTCCCATCCAGCCTCCTCCTGCTTTACTCACCCCATAAATGTTGGGAGTCCTCTTGCCTTCACCCTGGGCACCTTCTCTCCTCTCCCTATACTCTTTCCCCAGATGGCACCATCAACTCACAGGCATTCAAAGTCATCTTTGTAATTTCTAAACATAATATGATTCCTCTCTTCTGAGTTCCAGACTCAATTATCTCCCTTGGTATTTGACATCTTCTCTTTCAGGTGTCACAAACTTTTTAAACTGAACATATCTAAGATAGAAATCCTGATTTCTCCCCAATGCAGTTCTTATTCCCCAATGCAGTCCCTCCCTTCCCAGTAAATGCCACCACCAGCAACCTGTCATTGAAGCCAAACACTAGAGGGTGAGAAGGACCCTGATTCCTCCTTCCATTTACTCTACATCCAATCCATCAGGGAGTCCTGTCCAAATGTCTTTCTCCTCTTTAATTTCCCTACTTCACTACCCTACTAGATCAAGGCAATACCATCTTCTGTTTAGATGGTCTTTTCTTTTATCTTCTGAGTATGATTGCAGATTGTACTTGTTTTGTCTTTTATTTTTGCTTTTTTTTTTTTGCCTGTCTCCCCCTCTAGACAACAAGTGCTCCCCAATTATGTTTACTGTTTTACTTATTTACAGTATCCAGCATAGATCAGGTAATTAATTAGCTTTCATTAGATAAATAAATAGATAACTATCTATGGTGCTGACATCTGTAATATGTAGACCATGGACCTCATGGTAAAGTTATAACGGTCATGATCTAAGCCAGGGCCAGAGCAGAGATAATAAAATAAGCTAAAAGCTACTCAAAAAGTTAAACATTGAGATACCATATGCTATGAATTGGATTGCATTACCCCAAAATTTATATGTTAAAACCCCAACCCCCAGTGTTATTCGGAGGTGGGGCCTTTGGGAGATAATTAGGTCTAATGAGCTCATAAGAGTGGGGACTTATGCTGGGATTAATGCCCTTATAAGAACAGACACCAGAGAGCAGTGAGCTTGCCCTCCCCCTACACCCCTCCCTCTCTCTCTCTCTCCCCACCCTCCCCCCCACCCCCCCACCAGAAGGTGGCCATCTGCAAGTGTGGAAGAGAGCCTTCATCAGAAATTGACCATGCTGCTGCCTTGATGTTAGACTTCTTTGCTTCTATTTCTATCTTGGAAACATTATGCTAATTGAAAGCAAGAAGTCACAAAAAGGCGCATATCATAAAATTCCATTTATATGAAATGTCTAGAACAGGCATGTTATAGAGACAGAAAGTAGATGAGCAGTTGCCTAGAGCTGAGAAGACTGGGGTAGTGGGAGAATGAGGAATGAGTGCCAATTAATATAGGGTTTCTTTCTGGGGTGTTGAAAATGTTCTAGTATTAGATTGTGGTGACAGTTGCACAACTCTGTGATTATACTAGGAAACATTTTAAATGGGTGAATTCTATGGTATATGAAATATATTTCAATAAAACCATGAAGAAGAGGGTAGGAGGAGAAGTTGAAAGGAAGGGTGAGAGAACGGGGAGAAAGAAGGCGAACAGCAGCAACTAAAGTCAGCCGAGCTGAGTTAGTCTGTGGAATCTAAATTGCCGCCAACAGAAAAGTAAACCACTGTTTTATGTGCCACCAAGAAAGAAAATATTAACCAATTATAGCCATAAGAAGTTATGAATGATAAGACACTTCCTGATTTTGGTGATTTTGAACTGTGAAATCATATCTTAGAATTAGTAAAACATGGTACAGGTAGCTGTTGTCATATCTAGGTACCAGCTTCTGAAGCCTTCTAAATAAGAATTACTTCTTTAGAGAGAATTTATGAACCATGAACTCATTCATTCATAAGAAAAAAATTTATCAAATGAGCACTGAAAGCTGATACCAGCTTTATATATTACTTCATTTAATCCTAACAAATACCCTTAAAGATAAGCATCATATTCCTCATTTTACAGACAAGGGTGTGGGCTACAGATAGGTCCCATAGTTCTTAAGTGTCATAGCCAATATCCTAAGCTATGCCTCCAGGTCTCTGCTCTGTCCCTGTGTTATGCATGAACAGCTCAGATGCAGAAACCTTGTGAGCAAAAACTGAATTTTTGGCCAGGTGCAGTGGCTCATGCCTATAATCCCAGCACTTTGGGAGGCCGAGGTGGGCAGATCACCTGAAGTCAGGAGATTGAGACCAGCTTGGCCAACATGGTGAAAACCCATTGCTACTAAAAATACAAAAACTAGCCAGGCTTGGTGGTGCATGCCTGTGGTCCCAGCTACTCGGGAGGCTGAGGCAGGATAATCACTTGAACCCGAGAGGTGGAGACTGTAGTAAGCTGAGGTCATGCCATTGCACTCCAACCTGGGTGACAGAGCAAGACTCCGTCTTGGCCGGGTGCGGTGGCTCAAGCCTGTAATCCCAGCACTTTGGGAGACCGAGGCGGGTGGATCACGAGGTCAACAGATCGAGACCATCCTGGAAACCCCGTCTCTACTAAAAATACAAAAAATGAGCTGGGCATGGTGGCACGTGCCTGCAATCCTAGCTACTCGGGAGGCTGAGACAGGAGAATTGCCTGAACCCAGGAGGCGGAGGTTGCAGTGAGCCGAGATCGCGCCATCGCACTCCAGCCTGGGTAACAAGAGCGAAACTCCGTCTCAAAAAAAAAAAAAGACTCTGTCTCAAAAAAAAACAAAAAATTTTTTTTCTAAGCCCAATTTTTCCTCTGTCAGCTTTAGAGATAGAGATGCCTATCAGTCCCATCATCTCATGACTTCCTGTGGCCACCTCCTCCCAGAATCAACTGGTATATATTTAAGGAATAGGAATTACAATCCATTTGTGGAGAACACTTTGGGCCACCCTTGAATTTTCTGTGTTCCAGTATATTGGCTTGCTAAGAAGTCTCCAGGAGCTGCTGAATGAAAACATAGAGATGTTTATAGATGACACAGACAGAACAAAGTGGAAAACGAGAAACAAAAGGAGAAAAAAGTGTTATGAAGTGCAGGTGCACCTCAATTTATGCGGCAGATGCTTTCTTGAGAATTATGTGTAGATCAAATTGATTTACGCAGTAAACCCTATCATAAATTCAGCAAGAACCTTCTGATGGAAACTTGTGATGGAAATTTTTGTAATGAGAAAAATGTATTTGTGCTGAGAATAGTTGATTCTCAGCCTCTCTTTTGAATTTACTTGTTATTCTTCTCAAGGGAAGCCTACCTGCATATAAAAGTTTGGTAAACCCCCCTGGGATTCTTGATGTGCGGGAATGTCATGAGACCAAAATGCTTTACAAAGGCTTAAAAATATAAACTCCCTATGCCATTTATAATAGCCATTTCAATAATACTTTAAATATACATCTCAATAAAATGGGAGGGCTGAGAGGAGGCCTCTCAGGAACGGAGTTCGAGGACCACTATTGAAGGACATTATTTGATGGGGTTAGGAAGCTCAGAGGAGAAAACTATCTCCCTTGGGTAACCAAAAGCCCTGAACCTTTCTCTCTTGAAAGTTGAAAGGGAGGGAGAAGTTGAAGGGGTCCAGCGCTCCATTCCCAAATAATACCAATAGCCTCCTTGCAAATTACAACGTCACTTGCTCCCTGGTCTTCTATAGACAAAGGTTGCAAACCATACAGGTTTTAAAAATCAAAAGTGTTCTATTTTTTAAATGTATTTGCAGAATTACTTGAATGAATAAAAGATCTGCAAGACATTGTTCCATGTTCTCACTGGGAAATAACCCACTGGGGTAGGGCAGATGCTCCTGAAGACATGTCTCCTGGTCCCCACTACTTCTTAAGCCTTGCATCCAGCCTGGTTCCTGCAGGCATTTTTGCACCCCAGTAGAAGTCCCCACTGAGCTAACATCACCACAACATGACTCATCCAATCCAAGGAAGAACCCACAAATATCCATGATCTCAACAACGTCCTTTCTTTAATGCAGTCTCATTTCAAAATATATATGACTGTTTCTTATTTATTTATTTTAATTTATTTTTTGAGACAGAGTCTCACTCCATGCCCAGGCTGGAGTGCACTGGTGCAATCCTGGCTTCCTGGGTTCAAGTGACTCTTGTGCCTCAGCCTCACAAGTAGCTGGGATCACAGGTGGATGCCACCATATCCAGCTAATTTTTGTATTTTTGGGTTGAGATGGGATTTCATCATATTGGTCAGGCTTGCCTCAAACTCTAGGCCTCAAGTGGTCTGCCCACCTTGGCCTCCCAAAGTGCTGGGATTACAGGCATAAGCCACCAAACCCAGCCTTATTTTTTTAATTTAATAAATTTTTTAGAGCTACCCCATATTATTTCAGATCCTCTGTTCTTGAAGTGCCTTCCTGGTTCTTTTCATTTAGTGACAAATATGACTCCATATCAACACCTTCCCAGAGAATCAGCACTGCAGCCATGCAGATATCCTGTGAAACAGCAGGCTAGCGGTCTGGGCCACTCACAGACACCAAGGAAGGTGCTGTAAAGATTTCAACAGCCGGCCAGGCGCGGTGGCTCACGCCTGTAATCCTAGCACTTTGGGAAGCCAAGGCGGGTGGATCACGAGGTCAAGAGATCGAGACCATCCTGGTCAACATGGTGAAACCCCATCTCTACTAAAAATACAAAAAATTAGCTGGGCATGGTGGCACATGCCTGTAATCCCAGCTACTCAGGAGGCTGAGGCAGGAGAATTGCCTGAACCCAGGAGGCGGAAGTTGCGGTGAGCCGAGGTCACGCCATTGCACTCCAGCCTGGGTAACAAGAGAGAAACCCCGTCTCAAAAAAAAAAAAAAGATTTCAACAGCCATGGCCTTCACAAGCTGGTTCTGTGGGCATATATTCAGTACCAATTTCATGACAAACGCTTTGCGTCAACATACTTGTGGACAATTAACATGGTCGCCCTCCCTGGAGTGGGCAGTCTTACAGATGACTGAAGGCCAGTTTCTGAGGCCTAAGTAAACTAACTTATCTAGATCAGTTTCTTTACATCCTCTAGTTATCTAACTTCAGCTTTCAGGCACCAGATTAAGAGAATCTGGCTGCCTACAGCCAATTCCTATTCTGAGGCTTTTGCAAGACTCTCCAGCCTTCCAAGAAGGTTTGCATCTATTTTACAATTTTTCTTACCACCCTGACTAAACTCCTATGAACTGTCAGAAGACCCCTGGTCTGTTTCTCATCACTAACATGGTAACCCATGATTGCCAAACACTGGTGAGCAGCCATGCTCTGCCCAGTGGCATTCTTTTCTAAGCACTTAGGTGTATCTTCTCATTATCCTCACAAAAACCCTGTTATCAACTCCATTCTACAAGTGGAGACCTTGAAACTTAGCGAGCATAAATAATAATAATCACTAAAATTCATGAAGGGTGCCCTTCTAGCCCTCTACACATGTCAGCCACTATTCTGAGTGCTTTTATGTGTTGACTCAATTAATTCTCATAACACCCTTTTATTGTTACTATTTATATTGTCTTCATATTACAAATGAGGAAACTGAGGCACAAGAAAGTGGTGAAATAAGGTCACTTAGCTGATGAGTAATAATTAGACAGAACTTGAACTCGAGTAGCTTGACACCAAAGCTGTGCTTTTACTGCTAGCTGATTTGCTCAAATTCATAGCACTGGTTAAGACTGGGGTTTGAGTCTACCCCATTTAGTCAGAATCTAGAGCCACAAGGGCAGCCAGGTACTCTGTGGCCCTCTTAGATGTCTAAGAGGTCAGATTTCCTCTGCAGTGGCTGCAACGGCTGGCAGCAGGGTCTGGGAAGGATATACTGCCTTTCTTAGAGCTAGGCTGGGAAAAATGTTTTCCTGTCATTCATTTTTGAAGTGTCAAGAGATGTTAAAACTTCTAGGAGAGGAGATAAGTGACGTGAAGAAAATCTGGGTCATTTTTGTGCATACAAAGGGGTCATTCTAATAGTGATCTCAAGGAATCTTTTCTGGACACAAGGAGAGGAGACTATTAGTAGCCCTCTCTTCCCTTCCTGGGGAGTTTGAAACTGTATCTAGTTTTGAAATCTAAAAACCCCCAAGCTATTAGATCTGGTCCTTTTACCCCCTTAGCCCTGTATTCCAGTTTCTGCTAAAAAGTCTGCCTCAAGACATAAGTAACACCCAACTCTTGGGATCACCCGTTTTCCCTTTTCATAGAAACCAGAGATTCTAGGGCTCTCAGAAGTCTCTAGCGGTCACTGACCTAACCACTAGCACCAAGTTCTACAAATAATGACCCTGGGGAACTCAATAAAATGATCAATCACTCGCCCCCACAGATCTTAATAAAGAGTGGATAGGTGGAAGGTTTATAAATCTGGATGAGTCATTTGATTCACCAATGGAAAAAATAAATAAACCAACACTCCAATTAATTTTAACCTGAAAAGAAACTGCTTAGGGATAGTGCTTTAGCCAAGTCCATAGGGTGTGAACAACCTTAATTATTCACAAATGCAAATTGCTTTTACTCCTTGATAGATAATTTCTTCATGCCTTCCATCCAGTTCCTCTTCCCCTCACCATCGTCCTCTCTCCTCACCCAGTCTCTTCATTCCTGAACAGTCAAAAGGATATTTCTGGAAATGGCCTTCTGATCATTCAAGCTTTTTCTTTAAAAAAATTTAATGAATTTTCCCAAGACACTAATTAGCTTAACCTGAGATCCAGGGACTGCCCTAGGTCTAAATAATCCATAATGGGCTTCAGGGACCCCCATGAACTAGCTGAAATTATATGCAAAATTGTGGGAGTGGGAGCAACAAAATAATCAGAAAGAATGAATAAGGCCTAGAAGCACAAGACGGTGACTATAGTCAATAGTAAGTTCATTGTACATTTTAAACAACTAGAAGAATGGAATTGGATTGTTTTAACACAAAGGATAAATACTCTAGAGGATGGACACCCCATTCTCCATGATGTGATTATTACACATTGAGTGCTTGTATCAAAACGGATCATTACTCCATAAATATACACTCTTGCTATATACCCACAAAAATTTAAAAATTAAAAACAAACAAAATACTGTGAGACTAGGGTGCTTCCTGACTCCCTGCCCACCCAGAGGTCCAATTTTCATCAAATTCACAAAAAGTCTATGTTATCCTCAACCCCAAAACACAGCATTAAGTGTTAAAGGACTAGTCTGTACCTACCTAAACATTGCATCACCAGGAACATTTATGATGCAGTGAGAGCCCAGGTTTTGGAGCCAGATAGATGCAGGTTCAAAGCCCATCTCTGTCACTCATGAGCTGTATGAATTCAGACAAGCATCAACTTCTCTGAGCCTGTTTCCTCACCTGTAAAGTGGTGATCATAATAACTCCTTCATCACAGGATTATTGGGTGACTACACAACATCACACAAGAAAGCATAAAGGATTTGTATACGGAAAGGCAAAATAAAAATCCTCTCTACAAAAGAGAGAAAAAAAGCAGATCTAGGCTCAGGAGCAGAGATATTGCTCTCCCATCTTTGGGAAGCGCCTTTCTGGCTTTGCTAATGATGAAGGTCACTGTGCTACAAAGAATCAGATTGGGATCACCCCTGGGAAATCCATAAGAATCAGACTGGAAGAGCACTTTGTATGAGTATCATATTAGATTATAAACCTTCTTATAGATCTTACAGTGACTGGCCCAATCTGATTTAAAATAAACCTCTAACCCTCTATTCTCCTACTGTGTCTACCCACTACTCCCAACATAATGCGATAAGCAAAGTCTAAACATTTCAATCATGTACAATGTGAAGTTGCATCACAGTGAGGATACTAAAATGACCCCAGGGAGCCTGCACAGCCAGAGGCCAGCAGTCCTTCTGTGAGATCCAAATATTTTCAGGTTCTACCTGGGTCAGTTGGCTGCTCTTGGGTAAATATCAATTCGATGCTTTTAGATCCTTTGGCTGTTGGGACTTCCAGAACAGCATCAGTGACTTCAAAAACATCCTGAAGTTGATTAATATGCTCCTGTTGTATGGGCTAGATTCCTGATTCCAGAGAACAGGCCAACAGAAGACAGGCCAAGAGGACCCCACATTTGCATCTCTATTTGTCATGGCAAAGTTGCCTCACTCCTAGAAAAAAAGAACTTTAGCCTTATATTCTGAGACAGGCAGAGGATTAACGCTGATTACCATTGTCTACATATCTGATTTTATATTATGATTGGATTGTGTGGAGTGCTATTACAGGGTTTAACTGCATTGAAATAATTATATCATTTCTCTTTGGCTATAAAGTAATTTTAATTTGGGGCTGGGTGCAGTGGCTCACACCTATAATCCCAGCACTTTGGGAGGCTGAAGCAGGCAGATCATGAGGTCAGGAGTTCGAGATCAGGCCAACATGGCAAAACCCCGTCTCTACTAAAAATACAAAATAATTAGCCAGGCATGGTGCTCTTCAGGTCTTCTGATAGTTCCCATATGGATTAAGAGTTGAGGTTGCTAGTTGCTGGGCATGGTGGCATGTGCCTGTACTCCCAGCTACTTGGGAGGCTGAGGCAGGAGAGTACCTTGAACCTGGGAGGCAGAGGTTGCAGGGAGCTGAGATTCCGCCATTGCACTCCAGCTCTGGATGACAGAGCAAGACTCTGTCTCGGGAAAAGAAAAAAAAATTAACTTGGAAGCCATTCATAGTGGTTATAATTTTTTCTCAAACCATGTGGTGACACACAGTGTATTGGCTTTTGATGACTTGTCCCAGCCACCTGCTCATCTTGGTGCTGCTCAGTTAATACCTGCCCATCTGTATTTTTGTCTTTAAAGTCCTTATTATCAGCCTCACTCCCCAGCTATGAAAGTTGTTTGTCCCTTAAACAAGTTGAAAAAAAAGTGCAGAAAAATCAGAGTGAGTCTAGAATGAATAAAAAATGAGAATCCCACGACATCCAAGACAGGATAGAGTCTTGATTAAACATATAAACATGGTGACAGAAAACTCAGAAGCCAAGAGGGTCAGAGTGATGGAACTTACTAGAACACAAGTTCATTTCCTCAAATGTGAGTGTTCTGCCCTCTCTGACTGGCACGCCTCCTTTCCTTCCTCAGTTGTGGAGTGCTGTCGCCTAACCATAGATGACTTCTTTACGCCACATGGCTGCAGGTAGCATAGTTTTGAGGAGGGTGTGCTTAGATGTGGTGGAGGTCATGGACGAAGTGAAGAGGGAAGTGAAATCTTGTTGGTAGTGGTTCATGCAAAGAATCAAACAGCCCAGTGAGTCAGAGATCTGGTAAGAATGTGGAAGTCCTCATGACTTAAAATATCCAGCTCCCATGAGAGAAGTTCCAGAACAGAGGAGCCTCTTCTAGAACGGACCCGGCAGCTACAGAAGGGCTCAGATTGCTTGCTCTGCCATACCTTTGCCATCTGCCCACTGCTGAAGTCAGGCCCAGGGAAGGGGTGCTGCCCATGATTCAGCCATTCTCAACCTCTGCTTCTGCCTCTAACTTTGCCATATTTGTTCCCTATCTGGGATGCTGCAGTTCCACAACCTCAGATACACCTGGGGTTCAGCAGACCTAATTAGCCTATGCGTGTCTGCTCCCAAAATAGAGAGTCGTTTATTCTAGTACCTGCCCTGACCAGCAAGGTATGACCTAGGCCCATAGCCCATGGCCCCAGACTGGGAGTAAAGCCACATTCCTTCTGAACAGTTCCTAAAAAACTTTTAGTCTCAAATGAGTGACCTTAGAAGTAGAGTTTTGAGGATGGAGCTGAGTACAAGGATTTCACATCTTCTTCTCTTTTTAGTACAGCTCTCAAGGCCCTGGATCCAAAAGCAGGACACTGATGAACTTGCCTTTTCTATGACAGTCTTTACACTACAAGAAAGGGGCTGCAGGACAATCCCTGCTCCCAAAGACCCAACTCCCTCTGACAGCTCTTCTGTACCCACCTGAAGGGCTGACCATCTCTCCCTTTGACTCACTTCCATTGCAGCGCTAACTCAGATAACCTATCCTCAAAGCCAGAGTTTCTGGGATTCAGCTCTTGGAGGTATCACCCATTCCCTATGTGACTCTGTGGGAGCGATTTAGCTTATCTGCACCCTAATGTCCTCATCTATCAAATGTCAATGATGACAGCACCCGTCTCACAGTCTTTGGTCATGCTCAGAACGCGGACTAGAATAGTAAGCACTCAACATACTTCCCGTGCTGTTGTTGGCACTGCTGCTCCCACTCATCAGATACCATGTAAGGCCATGAGCCCCTTGAAGGTGGGAAACTTTTTTGGTTTATTTCTATGGTCCCAGCACCCAGCATAGAGCATGGTGCACAGAAGGCTAAGATGTTTAATGAGTGAGTGAATAAAGCGAATCCGGTTGGCAATGTTGGTCTATATATGCTCAGCTTGACTTGGTGATGGCTGTGTTACAGAGAGTCCTCTCCTGCAGTGTCCTGAAAAAGGAAATAATGCCAACAGGCAGTCATACTGGCCAGAGAGAAACTGAGCAATGTGAGAATGGGCAGAGGAGAATGAGCATTACAGCAAAGAAGACTGGCATTGAAGCTGACCAACTGGGCTATCTTGAGCACACCCATTTCCTCCTGGCTTCAGTCTGGCTATCTGTGTGACTAAACAAAGGCAGGAACTACTAGAAAGATGGGTTAGCATTTCAGAAAGAACAGATGGAAAGGTGGAACATGACCCATCTTTCCCACTGCCCCGGGGGACACCCCCACAGCCAGGTAAAACCAGAAGCTCTAAACAGGCCCTGCTTCTGAAGTCACAGCAAAAGCCATGTCTAGTGTCCCCAGTAATCCTCGAAAATTCTCCCACCTGAGAGCCTCCTCCTCCCCACACAGGCCAGTGGAGTGCAGTGGACAAACTTCGCCTCTCTCTGAACCACACAGCAGGAAGCATGGGAACCTCCTGAAGCTGCTGTAGGTACCCGGGCTGCTGGCCACTGTGCCACCACAACTGAAGAGGCCTTTGTGGCCTTCTTCCTGTGGCCCCAGGAAGAGACAGGAACTGGGAGCTAGCCGGAAGCAAGGCACCATGGAGGCCACATGCCAAATGGAGGAGTGTGGCAACCTTCTTTGAAACCAGAACTGCCAAGGTTTGTCTGTAGCTCAGACAGTGTCGTGGGTCCCTCTTACAGGCCAGTTGTCTCAACTGAACCCTGGATGCTGAGTAGTAGCATCAAGTCCAGCCAATACTGACCAGTAGCCTCAAGCCCAGCCAGTGATGCTACCCACAAAGGCTGCAGATCCTAGCTTAAGAGGCATCTTCCTGTGAACGTCCTGGGGACCCCTGTTGCCAAGTGACATGTGACTGCCATTGCAGAAGGTCCTATTCCCCCAGGATCTAGGGGAGGAAGGAGGACTCTGTGCAGCTGGAAAAGGCAAACTCTAACAGTCTTCCGTGATTTTAGACATGGTATTTAATCTCTCCCAAAATGCCAAAGAATATTAAAAGAGGGTATGCAGTTTTTAAGATTTTTCAGGAAGGGTCATGGACTAATAGCAGGTTGCGAACAATGGAACATTGCCGGAAGGGTTCTTGCCCCCCACCCTTGTATGTACATATTGCTGTTCTATTTATGACCAACATGGAAACAAGGTAATAATCAGAACTAAGAGATCCTTTTAGCCTACCTATTTTTCTTGGATCTGGAATATTCTGGGCCCCAGACTGGGAGGGAAACCTCACTTGCTGATTTTTAGCAGCAGCTGAAACCTGACCAAATGGACGTTGCCGAGAGGACATTCCTGTCTCTTTCTGTCTTCACAGGGAGACATCCTATTTGAGCCATCCTGGTTTGAGATCCTAGCCTCCCACCCCCGAAGCATGAGACAACCACGAGAAGGCCCCCTGCAGCCACAAACATTTGTCAGAGTGATTTGGTGAAGTTCAGCACTGAAAGCAATTTCTTACTCAGAATATCATTTATCATGGACAGTCTGTCGAAAACAATCTCATTTCAAGTCCTTCCCAGGGAGAAAAGAACTGACAACTGGCACTAAGTAATCTACGACAGAGCCACTGGGAGTCATTCATCTTTCCTTTGCTCAGCCCAGGACTTGATGCTTTCAGAAGAGAAATGGAATCAATCATAACTGCTCTGAGGGGCTTCAGGTAAAAGAGGAGGGGGCTACCAGGACAGTCACATACTCCTGAGTGTACAATGAGAGATTTTTCGTAGTCTTCATTTTACTAATAGCCAAAATCCAGAACAGCAGTCATAGGGGTCTTTGAGGGAGGCGTGCCTCCCTCATTACAAAATATGCTCTTTTTGTACTTTTAGCTCATCTTAAATGCCAGAATCCTCCTTCTTAGGGAGCAATTAAAGAAAAGCTTATTGCTTTTTTATATAAGCTGACTCCCCCTTGGGGCTCTCTTTTCTTTTCCAGACCATAGCATGGAGTTTGTGGCATAGTAGATAAGGATTCTGTGCATGCCATTTCCACTGACGTCAACACCCTGGAAGCAGAGTATCTAGCAATTTGAGGTTCATGGAAAAAAGCAGAAGAGGGAAAATTTTTCTCCATTAAGTTTCCTGCCTTTTTAAAAAAATATATACAATCAGTTACAGATAGGAAAAGCAACTGATCACTTTCCTTACTGAATGTCTGATTAAACCCAGGTTCTGGTTTTGAGGTTCACCAAGCCCCAGAAGAAGCTAATGAATTCCAGGGTTCCATCATTCTAATGTTTTGGCATTAAGCAGTGACTCAGAAGGTACTGCCAAATGCAAGTTATGACATAAATGCTATAGTTCCTGGGAGCCAAATAAAACAGAACCACCTTTGTAAATGCGTAGCTCTCACTAGTTCCCAGAAAGATTTATATTATGGATATTTTTACCTCATATTATACCAATCTTTTTTATTTGTACTTCACGTTCTGGGGTACATGTGCACATCATGCAAGATTGTTGCATAGGTACATGCATGGGAATGTGGTTTGCTGCCTCCATCCCCCTGTCACCTATGTCTGGCATTTCTCCCCATGTTCTCTCTCCCCAACCTCCTCACACCCCACTGTCCCTCCCCCAGCCCCTATAACAGACCCTAGTGTGTGATGCTCCCCTCACTGAGTCCATGTGTTCTCATTGTTCAACACCCGCCTATGAGTGAGAACTTGCGGTGTTTGATTTTCTGTTCTTGTGCCAGTTTGCTGAGAATGATGGTTTTCAGATTCATTCATTTCCCTACAAAGGACATGAACTCTTCATTTTTTATGGCTGCATAGTATTCCATGGTGTATATGTGCCTCATTTTCCTTGTCTAGTCTATCATCGATGGGCATTTGGGGTGGTTCCAGGTTTTTGCTATTGTACAGTGCCACAATGAACATACATGTGCATGTATCTTTATAATAGAACAAAGGATTTATAATCCTTTGGGTATATATCCAGTAATGGGATTGCTGGGTCAAATGGAATTTCTATTTCTAGGTCCTTGAAGATTCCCCACACTGTCTTCCACAATGGCTGAACTAATTTACACTCCCACCAACAGTGTAAAAGTGTTCCTTTTTCTCCACATCCTCTCCAGCATCTGTTGTCTCTGGATTTTTTAATGATCACCATTCTAAGTGGCATGAGATGGTATCTCAATGTGGTTTTGATTTGCATTTTTCTAATAACCAGTGGTGATGAGCATTTTTTCATATATTTGTTGGCATCATATATGTCATCTTTTGAAAAGTGTCTGTTCATATCTTTTGCCCACTTTTGAATGGGTATACCAATCTTAACTCAGAAATAAATCACCAGGTTTAGCACATATCATGCTTTAAGATGAAATTGTCCTCAAACTGATTTCATTTCTCTGTCATTATCAGGGGTCTGAAATCCTGACTGTTTTGGAAAGAAGTATTATGCTATTTTCCTCAAGCTAATTTGCCATTTGGGAGTACTTCTGCCACTTCCCAGCTGTCACTTTAAGATACTTTATCCTCTCTATGCCTTGGGGGCACACTACTATCTACCTTATAAGATGTCATGAGGAATAAATGAGGTGATACTTACAAAGGCCACACAGCTTGCCAAAAAGCAAGCATTTAATTTAAAATATGTTTTAGAAGGCTCTCAGCCAGAGATGAATCAGGGGGTAAGCCAACCACTTGGCTTCCCGACAGCCAATCTATAAAGTCCCCAGGAGATCACTGGAAAAGTAACAAGATGGAAAAATGGGATTTTCAGGGTGAGCACTCACTGCACATGATCAAGAAGAGCACTGTAAAGGGCCATGTGTGAGGAGGTAAGGCCTCCCTAAGGACAAGATCAGAGATAAACGAAGAGTCTCTGAACTGCTGAAGAGGCTGGCCAGGGTCCCTGAGGCACCTCTATAACAGTTTTCTTCCTCCTCCTGCTCCTTCCCTTCCCCAACATGAAGCTTAGTTTCTCTGCTAAATAATATTTAATAACTATGTAACAAATATCTATTTGAAAGCACATAAAATTATGAGCCTGCCCAAGCAACCTCTTGGCCTACTACGCTCTGAGCTAACTGGGGCACCAAGTATAAACATTTTCCCTGCTATTGCTTTGCCCTTTCCCTCCCTCATTATTCATGACCTTCAGTGATCAGAAATTCCAACCTGGGGCACCTGCCATCATGTGGCATCGGCCCAAAGCCCACACTAGCACAGGCGCCAAGCCTAAGGTGAAGTATCCTCAGCACTCACTATGAGACAACCTACTTTGCTTGGGACCAAGAAAAGAATAATTCACCATGAATATGACATCACTGGGACTTGTCAGTGAGTGCTATTTGGAAGATGTGGCTGAAAGCTGTATGTAGGGGCGTGTGCTTCTATCACAAGTAGCACAGTGTTAACTCCTCTAAAGCTAACAAAGCAGTTTGTGGCCAAGAGATTTTGCGTCCTAGGATGAATAAGAAGGCCATGTTCTTGAAGGAACTTGAGGAACAACAACTGCTTCAAGTTCTTCCTGAAATATGGATGAGACAGTAAAGCACACAAAGGTGGGTCATCCACCTAAGAACCTCTAGTTTAATAGTTAGCTCAGTAAATCTTCCCAATTTACCATGCACATTTATCTCCTTCACCCCCATGAACTGGTTTAGAGAACAAACATATCAAAATTTTAGTACTAATTTAACTAAGCATGATTTTGCAGAGAAGCCCAAAGCAAAAAATCCTTTCTATAATAAGGTCCAATACCAAAAATAGTAATAAGAATAATTTAAAAGCAGATTGCTTAAAATCCATCTCTTTCTCTCTGTTGCTATCCACAATTGTGGAGGAAGAGCATTTGTCAGCCTGCTGTCTGCCAGGCATGTGCTAGGAGCTTCACTCATCTCTTCACCCCAGTTATCACTGCCATTGTACAGATGTAGAGACCGAGACTTGCAGAGATTATCATCTGCCCAAGGCTACCTTCCTAGGAAGAGATAGGCCTGAATTTGAACCCCACCTAGGTCTGAGTCCAAAGCCTATGCTCTTCCCACATTGACCTGCTGGCCGTCCTGAAGCTACCACTGTAGGTGGAGCAAACCCCCTGAGATGAACCAAGGGAGTAGTGGATACACACACACACACACACACACACACACACATAAAGCAAACAAACAAAACAAAATTAGTTGGCAAGGATGTGGACAAACTGTAACCCAACATGTTGTTGTTGGAAATGTAAAATGGTACAGCCATTGTGGAAAATAGTTTAGTGATTCATTGAAAAGCTAAACATCGAATTTCTCAATGGCCCTGCAATTCTACTGCTATGCATGTAAGAACTGAAAACAGGAATTCAAACAGATACTTGTGCACAAATGCTTATGAGGGCATTATTCACAATAGCCAAAAAATAGAAACAACCCACATGTTCATCATCAACAAATGAATGAACAAACAAAATGTGTGATAGCCATACAATGGGATATTATTCAGCCATAAAAGGAAATTAAGTACTAATACATGCTATAACATGGATGAACCTCAAAAGCATTATGTCAGTGAAAAAAAACTAGACACAAAGGTCACACATATATAATTCCATTTAGATGAAACATCTAGAAGAGGTAAATCCAGAGACAGAAAGCAGATCAGTGGTTGCCAGGGGCTAGGAAGACAAAGAAATGGGGAGTGACTCCTTGATGAGTGTGGGGTTTCCTTTTGAGGTAACAAAAATGTCTTGGAACTAAATAGAGGTGATGGTTGCATAAAGCTGTGAAGGTATGAATTACCACTGAATCATACACATTAAAATGGCTAATATGCTCTGTGAATTTCACCAGGATTAAGAAAACCAAAGAGTGCTAAAGTTAGAAGATATTTCACAAGTTCTCTATTGCACTGCATTCTTTGTGGATAAGGAAAGTGAGCCTTGTCAGTCTGTCCAGGGTGGAATCACATAGCTAAAGTTTGTCAGTGAGGTTGGGGTTAGAAATCAACGCTTGGCTAATTAATTCATCAGAGCTTGCACCCAGGCTCGCACTGGGGCACTGGAGGAAAAGAGGAACAATACTGAGAGAAATCATTCTTTCTCAAGCATAAATGAGAGCCTCCCAGTTCCTGCCTCTTTGACTCAAAGCTCAGATTCCTGGGAAGTCATCCCTCCATCCCACTCCAGGGAAAATGGCTTCCTACTTTTATGTGAAAAGGGGCCACAAAGAATTCAGCATGATGAAACAACCTTAACTCTATCAACAGAGAAATGTCTGTCTTCAGGAGAGGTCTGTATGATTTACTTCTGCTTGAAGTGAAGCAGATAACCTCAATCAACATCTGATTACTTCTTTAATTTCCAGAGCTTGCTCATTACCGAAGCCACACTGTCTCTAGAGAAGGACCTGGGGTAACTCAGATTTTAACACTCCTGGTCTGACAAGTTACTTAGCCAGGGCTTTAATTGAGAAATCAGTTATTTTATCCATTATTTTGCTAACATTATCAAAATTCTATAATACTCAATGCCCTGAAATGACATTTTCTGCTATCATTTGTGCATGTGACTAGGAGAAAATTATGTGTGATGGACATGTTGAAGATACATACGTTCTTGAAGAGATTCTTTCCTACTTGCTCTAATCACTGATCCATTTCCACTGAACAAATTAAGCATCAGCATGAGAAGTCATGAGGCACAGGGTTCATTCTTTCTCCTCTGTCTCGGCTTTCTAAAATGTATGACTTTTATATTGCTGCTTTGCAAGTATGTGAAGACGTGTGTAAATTTGTGTGCATTACGATAAATATTTTTCCCTGCTAAAAGGTACAATGAAATTGATAGTGACACTTTGCAAACCAACTCTCCAATAAACTTCTAGTGATTTTTTTTAGGTTTGCTAGTAGTCCTCCCAGCATTTCTGCAGATTGCTAACTGAACCTCAGCTTTTCTAGGAGGAAAATACCTGTTATTAAGGTCAGCAACCTGAGTCACTCTTGATTCCTCTCCATTTTCAACAAAACAGCTGTGAGGCCTCCAGCATGTGCTCAAGCCCCAACTGCCTCCATCCTCTTCCAAGGCAGCATCCTCTCAGTGGAGACATAATAAAACTGCCTTCCAAATATTCTCCTTTCTTTTATCTTTCCTTAAATTCTATTCTCCACATCACAGTCAGAACGACTTTATTTGTTAATGTCTTTATTGAGTTATAATTTCTATACCATACAATTCACCCATTTGAGGTTTAAAATTCAATGGTACAATCAATTTTAGAACACTTTCATCATCTCACAAAGAAGTCCTGTACCCTTCAGCTATCAACTCCCAATCTTCCCACAAGCAAGCAATCAGTAATGTATTCCCTGACTCTATACATTTGCCTATTCTTGACATTTTAAATGAATGAAGTCATATACTGTGTGATCTTTTGTGGCTGGTTTCTTCCACGCAGCATAATGTTCTCAAGGTACATATACATTGTGGCATGTTTCAGTTCTCCATTCCTTTTTATAGCCAAATGCTATTCCACTGCAGAGACACATCACATTTTGTTAATCCAGTCATCTGTTGATGGGCATTTAGATTGTTTCCACCTTTTAGCTATGATGAATAATGCTGTTATGAACATTCAGGTGCAAGGTTTTTGTGGACATGTATTTTCATTTCTGTTGGATAAATACCTAAGAGTGGAATGGACATGTTATGATAACTCTGTGTTTAAGCTTTTCAGGAATTGTCTAGCTGTTTCCCAAAGCTACAGCACCATTTTACGTCATCCCTACCAAAAGCAACAAGGGTTGCAATTTATCCACATCCTTGTCAACACTTGTTATGATCTGTCTTTTCAAGTACAGCCATCCTAATGGGTGTAAAGTGGTATCTCACTGTCGTTTTGATTTGCATTTCTCTGATGACTAAGGTGTTGAACATCTCTTCATGTGCTTCCTATTTGTATAACTTCTTCAGAGAGACATGTATTCATAACCTTTGACTGTTTTTAAATTGGACTGCCATTGTACTTTCTTTGTAATGTCCTTCCATTGAAAAACAGATGTTTTTAATTTTGATGAGGTCCAATTTATCTAATTTTCCTTTGTTGCTTGTGTGTTTGGTATCATATTTAAGCATTTATGGTTAAATCCCATGTCACAGAGGTTTACCCCTCTCTTTTCTCCTAACAGTTTAAAAGTTTTTGCTCTTACGTGTAAATCTTTTATCTATTTTGAGTTAATTGATGTGAAGAGTCCAATTTTATTCTTTTGCATGTGGCTATCTAGTTCTTCCAGCACCATTTTTTTTTAAGACAGGATCTCATTCTGTCACTGCAGGCTGGTGTGCAGTGGCACAATCACAGCTCACTTCAGCCTCCACCTTCCAGGTTCAAGTGATCCTCTTATTTCAGCCTCCCAAGTAGCTGGGGCATAAGCATGCACCACTGCACATGGCTAATGTTTAAAAAAACATCTGTAGAGATGGAATCTTCCTAAGTTGCCCACACTGGACAGCACCATTAATTGGAAAGACTATTCTTTCCTCATTAAATGATCTTGGTATTATTCTCAAAAATTAGTTGACTAAATAAAAATGGATTTATTTCTGGACTCTCAATTTTATTCCATTGATCTATATGTCTAAATGACTGTTTAAAAGCAGAAACCACATTATTACTTTTTCTAAAGTAAGAGCCTAATGTCCAATACAAGTCATTCTCTATCCCAAGATCCTTCACCTGGGGCCACATTCTTCCAAGAGGTCCTTGGGTAGTACTTAGGGAGTCCATGATTTGGACCAAAAAAATTACATCTTCATTTTTATTAACCTCTAATTCAAATTTGGCAATTCCTTTAATTATGAATGTAGACCATAAATTAGAATAGTATTAATGATACTTGTAACTTAGCAACAGAAATCTCAGATATTTACATATAAGATTACAGTTGTTACAGATATCTCAAAGTATTATTTACATTAATCCTACTTTAAAATGATGGTGGTGTATTAGAATTGTTGCTGGAGCCTGATAAAAAATGCCATAATCAAGAAGCAAACACACTTTATCATAATTTGTTTTTTATAATCTGATAACTGATTTTAATATAATTGGTTTTCTAATGATCCAATGTTTTTATGCTATGCCTTTATAAATAATAGTTTTCTGAGAAAGAGATCATAGTCTTCACCAGGCTGCCAAAGAAGTCCTTAGCACAAAACATTAAGAAACCCTGCTTTTTCCATTACCAGTTTTATTTTCTTCCCAGCACGTGGTATCAACTGAAATTATCTTATTTACTTGTCAACTTGTTTATGGTCTGTCTCTTTCTGATACTGTAATGTGTTTAGGGCTTAAAACGGCGCCAGGCACATAATAGCCATTCAGTAAATATTTATTGAGTTAATTACTGAATCATCATGAAAGTAAAGACTACTGAGGCCAAATTAGGGACACATAATCCATACTGAAAATTCCTTTACATTTATGCCATTGTCGTCATTAGATTTAACAAATGCCAGCATGTCCTATATGCTGTATTAAGTGCTCGATGCACAGTAACTCATTCACTGTTCTCCATCCTAATGACTAAGAATATTATTATTCATATTTACAGTTGAGGGAACTAAGCCTCAGAGAGGTTCATTTCTCACTCAAGGTCACATAGCTAATAAATGACAGAGTTGGGATTCATAACCAGGCTTACCTGCCTTCAGAGTATCGATTTTTAACTACAATACAACACTTCTAAGAGAAGAGAAATTTTCTTCCTGTTCAACTGAAAAAGCTAAGATCCTGTGAAGTTAAGAAACAGGCCTCAGAACGCAGAGTTCAGTAGAGATTTCCAATAAAATGTTCTTTCCACTGTTCTGTTTATGAGGCACAGCAGGAAAACCCCTTAGCAAAAATATAGCAGAACTGGGTGCTAACAGGTTGCCTCCTACGAGAAGATGAATTTTGGAAAAGATTTACTTTGCAAGCATAATTAATACTAGCAGGCATTAGCTGAAGCCTGTTCTTTTCTTTCCCGGGGTCCAGTCTGCTTCTCTAAATATTAGGGCTCGGCCTCATTCAGGGCATTAAGCACTTCATTAGGCTGAAATCCAAGTTAATTTGATTGCACAATTATAAACTGTCCCTGGCTGGAGGTTGTCTCATTTGTCAGGTTGCAAGGGGGCAGCATAGCTGGATGACATGCTTTTGATCCCCAGCTTGAAGTTTCAGTGCTTTCTGGCTTTGACCTCATCAAGTTTTAAAGAAGAAAAGTTAAATTGGAGCAGGGAGACAGATATTCTCCTTACTAAAGCTGTCAAGGACACCAGGAGGACCATTTATCAGGTCTACAAAGAAATAAGGCCCAAAAACTCCTGGTCACCTGGAGGTGGCAGCAAATGGGATCTCACCAAAGGCCCATTATGCCCAGGGTCACTCACCCACATGGGAAGCATGCATCCAGGCTGAGCCCTTTCCTCTTTCCTGTGCCCTATCTTCCCCTTACTGGCTAACAGGTTATTCAGCCTGGGTATACAGAGGAGCCAAGGGAAGGAATAAATTGCATTTTTTTTTCAACAGGGATTTTGCTGACATTAATAGAATCTGGAAGCACCGAAGTTCATGGAGTAGCATTTTCCTCTCCTCTGCTATTCATGTAAGTAATCAAAGGATCCACTTCCAGCCTTCCTCAAGAGAGGCCTCTCCTCCAGCCAATAAAGTCCCTTCACTGACTATTTTTGTAAAGACATTAACTTTGCCAAAGAAAAGGCTGGCCTTTGCCCTCAGCTTCTGGGAGGCAATCCCTAAGCCCTTGGAGTGTCCTGCCTGGTAAAAGTATCTTTTCCTGGGGTCTTCGGCTGGCCAGATAGTAACAGTGTTATTTTGAGTAGGGGCTGACCACCCCAGAAAGTCTAGCAATGTCATTTATGGTGGAGGCTTTGGGTCACATGGTATCCATCCACCTCCAGAGGAGGAGGGAACTGAGGCTGACCATGAAGGCAGTCATCCAAGTTTACAAGATCCAGCCCCAGTAAAAACTTTGAACTCTGAGGCTCAGGCAAGCTTCCTTGATTGACAATACTCCTTGCATGTAGTCATACATTGATGCTGGGAGGTAACATGACCCATGACTCCACATAAAGAAGATAATGAAAGCACTGTATTTGGATCTTTTCCAGACTCTGGCCTATGTACCTTGTCCTTTGACTAATTTTAATTTGTATCTTTTCCCTGTAATAAGTTGTAACCATGAGTATAGTAGCCTTCAGTGAGTTCTGCAGTCCTTCTATGCATTATTGAACCTGAAGGTGACTTGGAGAATGTGCCAAACCTGAAGTTGATGTCAGAGTGAGGAGGATCTTTGGGACTGCTCACCCCATGCCCTTCTGCACCTTCCGAATTCTACCCATGCCTTGGGACCCAACTCTAGCCTGCTGTCCTCCCTTAAAGTTCCCTGGATTACTGTACCCAGCGAGCAGGCTGGCTTCTACACTAAAAGCTAGTGTTTCTCAAACTACATTTTAGCAAATTCCACAGTAAGAAATAGAATTTACATCACAAATCAGTACACACATACGTTTGTGTAGGACATAGATCTATATATATATAATGGAAACAAAAGTTTCCTGAGAGCAAACTGAACTTCTCCAGCTATATTTCTATCTTGGGCTAATCAATCTCGTGATTTATTTATTTATTTACTTTTAGAGACAAGATCTCACTCTGTTTCCCAGGCTGGTCTCAAACTCTTGGCCTCAAGTCATATTCGACTCAGCCTCCTGAGTAGCTGGGATTATAGGCACAAGCCACCAAGTCCCGCTATGTCATCTTTTTTAAATGCTTGTTTTTCCTTTCACAAACCATGAATGAGTTGTGATTGCAGTTTTCAGAAGCCCAGGTCTTGTACACTATTCTGATAATTGATCTCTTTACTGCCTCACAATACATCTTATTTTGTTCCTTAATTTCACTGTGTTTATAATCTTGTGTCTCTCAAGACCTGATTAAAAGCTTCAAAACAAACCTCAAAAAGAACAATACCAATAATATCTGATACTTTTTTTTTGGTCATGTTCAAGCTGGGCACTGTGCTAAGAGCCTTTCCATGGGAGTGTTCAATTGTTTCCACACACTGCTATCAGGTAGGTACTATCCACCATGAGATCTCTTGTCACCACCTTCACCCATTTTATAAAGGAAAGACTTCATTTCCTGAACTCTTTTCAAGCAAAGCTTTGTGACTCCTGGGCTCAAGTGATCCTCTCACCTTGGAAAGGTTAGCTGGCTTGCCCAAGACAGCTGCAAAGTAGTAGAGCCAAGTAAGCCAAGGTTTGGTCTGATTCCAAACCCTGCTGTTCACCACTAGGCTTTTTCCTCCCTACTTTCTTTTTTCAAAATTATTTTTTTAAAGATAGAGTCTCAGTCTTTCACTCAGGCTAGAACACAGTGGGGCAATCAGGGCTCTCTTCTGCCCTAAACTTCCATGCTGAAGCCACTCTCCCACCTCAGTCTCTTGGGTAGCTGAAACTAGAGGCATACCACCATGGCCAGCTAATAGGGAAACTGAGGCAGGAGAATCACATGAACCCAGCAGGCGGAGGTTGCAGTGAGCTGAGATCATGACATTGCACTCCAGCCTGGATGACAGAGAGAGACTCTGTCTCAAAATAAATTTTTTTTTTCTTCAGAGATAAGGCCTCACTATGTTGTCCAGGCTGGTCTCCAACTCCTCAAGTGATCCTCTCACCTCATGTGAGCCACCATACCCAGCTACCTTCCCACACATTTTTATTCCCTGCCAGAGCTGCCCAGCAGACATCTTTGCCCCGAGTGGAAAGGTCACAGATGACAAATATCAATATACAACTCTGGCCCAATGGGCTCAAAGAGGAGGGAATTGGCAATGTTTCTTCTTTATGCCTTCTCAGGCCTGTATGCTACAGTTCCCCTCACTCATCTCAGGAGAGTCTCCTTCCAGAATGCCAGGCGCCCCTGCACCAATTAAACCATCACAGTCGGCTGGCTTGGAGACAAGTGAGGTCGGGAAGAAATCTGAAGGAATTCAGATGAGATGAGGCCTCCTTGTGCTGAAGCTCCTCTTCTCCTTTCTGTCAAACTGGTCTGAAGACTGATTGGATGAGCCCATAGAGATTCCTGGAAACTCTCTACACACAGCTCTTCCTTTTTAGTGGAGGATAATAAATACAGCCTTGTACAGAAGTGGCAACTGTTTGCATCTGTTTGGGCCCCCAGTGCTGCCTAGTTTCTGGGTGCAACAGCAGTGGGTCTCGGGTGATATGATTTTGGCTGGAGATTGCTTGCATCCTGAAATCACAGCCTAAGGAGGAATTTTTCCTCTACAAACAAGTGCTAACCCACAATATATAACAGAAGGAAATCAAAGAGCTCTTAGGCTTGGCCTAGTAGGCGCATCTTGTCTTACCTACCCCTTTTAGCGTTGCCTGGTATTGGAGGAAGAGGTAGGAAGCCTAGAGCCTTTCTCCCAGAGTTTCCTTAGCATTGCCTGTTATTGTTGAGATTTAGAATGCATTGCAGGTTAAGGGACACTTGATTAAGAGAACACTGCAGAGACTTTCACTTAGACATGTTTTGTATGCCATGAGGGGAAGAGTTCCCAGTCAATCTCTGCTTAACTTTCAGGTTTGAAGATGGCCCTCTCTCAGCCATGTGATCTTCACAGCAGAAGAAACAGGAGTGTGTGAGCAGATGAATTAATCTTATGAGAACAGAAACCCTTAGTTTGGGTTTTATGGATCAACTTTAGGGTACCTGGAGCACAAAATTTTTGTAGCTTTCATCCAATTCCCAAGTGGCTGTTTGACCCACAGAAGAACCACCGGCAGTCTACATGGTAATCTGCATACATTGCCTTCTATAATTTTACTTGCTGTAGCTGCCAAATCTTACTCATTCATGCTTCCTCCAAGCGTAGCACATGTGTGCACACAGCCACCACCAAATGTACCCGCTTTGTCTACTCCTCAGTCTCACCTTGTACCTGATAACAGATTATGCTCAAAGGTACTGGAAGACCCACGGCTTCCTGGAGCACGTTTCAATTATTTATGCTGCTTTTTACAGGTCTTGCCTTATTATTTCTATTCATGCTATTATGAAGAGGGCAAACTCCTTAATGCACTCCTCTGCTACTTCCTCCCACTGCTAGAGGACAAGCACATGCTAGGTAGAGCCACCTAATGGCATCTACATTATTTTCACCTTCTCCGTGTACTCTCCTTGTAGTTCCCTCTAGGGCCTCAAGATCAATTGTATCTCAACCCGGGCCATGGGTTCATTTTCGGCATTTTCTGGCATAGAGTGAGTGTAGGGGGTATATGGAAATGCTAGCTGTCAAATTACAAGATGGCAGGTCTCTGCATGGGTGTGATTAGTAACATGAGATAGAGTATCCTTGTTAAGGACAAACTGCCTTCCAGTAGATTCCAGCATCAGAGGTCCTGGAGCCCTACCTACAGTTTCCTCCTGAGAGTGTCCTGACAGGTTAAAGGTGGTGTGAGTATCTTCCACGATAAAAACAGACTGATGAGGCAGCTCCACTGAAATGGCAGTTGATATTAATGGGGCCATCTATTTCCTACTTCTGAAAATATCTGAGCTGTAGGCGCAGATGCTACCTATCATTAACTGCCAAATTTCCATGAAAAAGTGTAAGGTCAGTGATGAAGTTGTAGCCTAGATGTGGGACTGTGTCTCAGGGGAAAAGTCTAGATATGTCTCCAATTTTGCTTTGGAAGGGACCATACCATAAGAATGTCATCAGTAAATATTAAATACAATTCTCAGCAAATTGTGAACTTTAGGGTTCATGAAAACTACAGCCAGGATTTATCCATGTCAACCTGTACCTTCTACCCACATATGCTAGAAACTAAATCAAGTCCCACAGAACATGCCCATTTAGCTAAGTAAGTCAGAGGATAGTTTCCAGTAATTACTAATACTTACATAGTTAGTATAATCAACTCTGCTTTGGTCAAGTTAATATCCTGGAAGAACAGACAGATTTGGGCCTCTCTTCTTATAAAAAAAAAGAATCTGACAATTTAAGGGGCATATGTTCACTTCCATTTATGTCCTGGAAAATATGCTCTGTGACTTAGCAACCATGTTTTAAAAGCTCTTGCAGTTCTTAAACAAACAGAGTGTATGTTTATGAGGTTCTAACGATGTTATTTTCAGAGATGATATGTAGCTCTGGGGCTTACAGTAAGTTGTGGATGATTTATTGGTGTGGCATACAGTACCTGCCTCCAGAAAAGTGGAAATTTAATTAAGCAGTGTTTGAAAATGTGTTAGATGACAAACAACCCGGAGCACCCTGAGACCAAAGGCTTCCCATCTTAGAGAGAAAAGGGGTCCTTTTTGGGAGATGGAGGAGCAAGGGTTAAGAACGTTTCCTGGCATTAAGGGAGCACAGCCAATTCAAGACCAGAAAGAGAGACAGTTTAGAATAGAGGCTGAAAACGGGAGGCCCAATTCTGGCCTGCAGAGGTATTTTACTTGGCCTGCAAGTACTTTAAGAGTTTTGGATTTGAGGCCAATATTTTTAAATTGGAGATTCAATATAAAATCCAGTATTCTCTCTCCTCTTTGAAACATAGGAAGATCTGGCCACGAGAGCCTGCACGTCTGCATAGGAACAGTCACCTGGACCTGGAAAGCCACTTTAGTTGAGGTTTCAGACCTCACTGTAGCCCTCACCAGATCCTCACTCATTTCCAGCATCTTCGCTCCCCATCCAGCTGAATTTGCAAATTTCTGATGAAGACAATATTAGTTTGTACTGTTGCACTCTCAGCAAACAGATATCTTAAACCAGCAATACTTATTGTCAGATAAAAGAATGGAAAAGGCACATGCTTTTCCAAAACTCAGGAGAAAAGCAAGATTATTAAGCTGTCTTAATATATTTGTTGTGTCCATTGTTTTGAATGCTGAGTTGCTGAAGTGCATATCTCCCAAAGCCAAGTTATCAGACGGGGCTTAAAATAAAATGTTTATTTTTATTTTGTCATTTGAAACAATTAGACCACATTGAAGGGGTGTAATACAAGGCATCTGTCTCTGAGCATATTTTCTTATCTGTGAAAATTTCCAGAAGGATGGGGCTGTCAGAAAGAAAGAAATAGAGCCAATTTCTCCAGCAGGCAGGGCTGGCATAGTGCCTGGGGCCCCTGTACTTATGGGGCACACACACACAAAAAAATCTAAATTTTAACTTTTTTAAAATCAGAAGAAAATAAATAAATATAATAATAAATAATCATAATAATGAATCCAGGCTGAGCACAATGGCTTACACCTGCAATCTCAACACTTTGGGAGACTTAGGTGGGAGGGTTGCTTGAGCATGGGAGCTTGAAACCAGTCTGGGCAACACAGTGAGACCCCATCTCTACACGAAAAATTTTTTTTAATTAGCTGGGCATGATGGTGCCCACCTGTAGTCCCAGCTACTCTGAAAGCTGAAGCAGGAAGATTACTTGAGCGCTGCAGCCAGAAGTTGCAGTGAGCCATGATTGCACTCCAATCTGGGCAACAGAGTGAGACTCTTTCTCAAAAAAGAAAAAAGAAAAAAAAAAGCCAGCCGTGGTGGTACATTCCTGTAATCCCAACTACTCAGGAGGCTGAGACCAAAAGATAGCTTGAGCCAAGGAGGTCAAGGTTAGAGCGAGCTATGATCATGCCAGTTACACTACAGCCTGAGTGACAGAGTGAGACTGTGTCTCTAAAAACAATAATAAATCCAGCCTGGTTTATATTCATCCTTAGATGAATGTAGCCACAAAATAAAACTTTTAATATTCTTAGGGAAGAATTGGCTCAACGAGGCCTACATACCTAGAGCCCATGGAAATCGCAACATGGAGCTGGGGGCAAATGCTGGTCTTCAGACCAACATCCATGTCCACACTGTGGCCTGTTTGTGAGCAGCACAAGCTCATTTTACTGCCAGCTTTCCTCCCCATCACACCCTTGTGATGATCTGCACGTAACAAGTTCAGAACAAGGCCCCTGTAAAGCACATCACACACTGACCTGTTTCAAGAAGATGGCTTGGATGCCTTTCAGATACTTCTGGAAATTTCCAAATAAAAATTTCCAAATGTCTTAATCACCTACAATTGGACAGCAGGTATTACTGCCACTGGATAGAGTCTACTTCTCTGATTATTTTATGCCACCCCTGAAGCATTCTCAATCCCTAATCTCAGTGGCTGATTTCAAGGCAAGGTTTTGCTTGACTTAGTGTATATAGAAAATCACAAAGCCCGAGTGCAGGCCACAGTGAGAGTCTCCTCTTGTGGACTCTTAGAGTTGGGGGCAGACTGAGTGTTCTGCCTATTCAACTCAAAATCTCCCCTAGAGCCAAAACATTTTATAGTATCCAGCTATCTTTTCAACCCCTCAACCTTCAGCACTTATGGTTTGCAATGCTCATATTAGTAATTGATATACTGCTTAGTGATGCTTTACTTGTTCTTGTTTTGTTATCTTATTTTTCTTGTATATATGGCTGGACTTCCTGCCTCTTGTAAAAATATGCATCATTTAAATATCTTAATGGAAAAGATCTAACTTTATACATAAGTACTCAAAATCCCCCAGTACCTAGCAAAATGCCTTATACACAGTTGGTACTCAGTGGAGAGCTATTACCTGATTGGTACCTTTAAGGCCACAGGTACAGACAGCTGTCAGTCTCATCTCTGTTACTGTGATGAGCCTAATGGCCAATTCCCCCATGGTCTGCTTCACCACTTAATTTCTTGGCAGGACATGATGTTTCCTACACACACACTCACTCTCTTTCCTCTCTCTCCTCTCTCTCCTCTCTCTCTCTCTCTCTCTCTCTCTGTCTCTGTCTCTTTCTCTCTCTCTCCCCTCCAAATTCTATGAACAAAGATGTATGCATCAAAAAGTCCCAAGGGCATCATTGCTTTGAGAGTTCTATTTTTAAGCCACAAATGACTCATCACCAACCAGGGTCTTCCCAAAGCTACAAGTGTCAGGCTGTCAGGTCAAAAGACAAGGGGTAAAAGACAAGGAAGAGGTCACATCTCCTCCAGCCCATGAACTCCATGATAAAGCTGTAAAAGCTGCCACCGCTCTGCACACCACCCCCCTGCCCCTGTCACAGTTGTGTTAGGCACAAGCACTGCCCTTGTGTTTGGATTAAACTGTTCTGAGCTATAACATTTCGCTCCAGCTGGCTCCTATCCTGATCTCTAAGCAGTCTCTGAATGCATATCTGCCTGTGACTTTAGGGAGAAGACTGGTGCCATGTGACAGGGAGAAGATACAGCCCTCTGGTGGTATAAACTCAGGCTTGTTGCAGAGGACAGAAGTAAGTAGTATGTCTGAAAGGGAATGCATTTTCTTCATTTGCCCTGAAACAATTACTCTTTTAAAAAGAGTAAGAGAGGGCTAAGAGAGTACCAGATTGTCCAAAGCATTCTTTTTAACTTCTGGAGAGTAGCACGAAGGGAATAAATTTTGGAGAGCAGAATAGATAGAGATGTATAGACATAGTTATCAGATAGTATTTCCACAGGGGAAACAAATGAGCAGTTGGATAAAATGTCCTCAGAAGTTATGCATAACGAATTTCAAACAATGTGTTCAGCTCTTCAATATCTGCAGCCCTGTACCCTTCCATAATGGAGCTGAACTCTTAACTCTTACCTGTCCCCACCTCCATGCTGAAATAGTACAGAAAAAGAGAGTGAGACTGTGGGAATGGAGAGAGAGAGAGAGAGAGAGAGAGAGAGAGAGAGAGAGAGAGAGAAAGTAGTAGGATCATGAAATCAAGGAATTCAAAGTCTCTTATCAATGAGGATGAAATAAACTAATCCCATGCAGCCACCTGGCTGGATTTTATCTTTTCCACCTGGGATTATGTTTGTTCTTTCCCATGGCCCTAAAGCTTGCCCCATGACAAGGGCCTGGAAGTGCTGAATTGGCATAAAAAGACAATATATGCTTTGCTATTCAATATGTAGGTTATTATGTCTTTATTCATATTTGTATTTAGTAGAAAGAACCCAGGAGATCAAGTAGAAAAGGATTGGGAGAGAAGAGCTCTGTCTTCTGGTTCCAGCTCTGTCCCCCAGCTTGTCAGGTGACCTTGAGGAGCTCCCTCACCCTCATTCCTCAGGAAAGGATGCTGAGACACAGGAACAGTGGCAACAGTTGGGCTCCAGGACTTCTTTCACTCTAACATTGTATTCTACAGTTGTCTTTTGTAGCAGACCTGAAAGGTTCAGCCCAGTCCTTCCTCCCTCTCCCAGCATAGTCCTTGATTTGCCCAATGAAATGCCAAAGATAAGGAGTTCCCTTAATGCTTCTAGATGTCATTGCCCACAATGCCTAGGTACCCCTTGTGCAATGAGAAATAAGCAAGGACACAGGATTTCCTCACCAATGTAGAAGGGAGAAGGAGGAAGGGCGCTAATGCTCTGAACTTTGACATAAATAAAACCAATCTGTTTGACAACCAAAGAACAGATCCTGCCCTCAAAATCTACCCAATGGAGACAAGGACGTATATAGAAGTCGACTCTCTTCCTTGGCATACTCTCCACCTGTCTTCTCTACCAGGCTTTCATTCGATTCATGAACAAATGGCAATGTGGAAGGCTAGATGAGCTAGGAAGACTGAGTTAGAGTTACTCTCATATCAGAGAACCAAGTGTTGCTATTAAAGGGTAAAATCTGAAGGGGGACAAGGACTTCCCACTGGAGTTATTTATAGCCTCTTTGCCCTTAAGGCATCTCCTCTCCCACCATCCCTCAGTGGGCTCAGCTCCTCCACCATCTGACATTTCATTCTTTCAACAGCTGCTGGCTCTCCTGTCATGTTCCCTTCACAGATGTGCAGGGCCGTTCTGAACATCCTGCCCTTGAACTTTCCCTATCCATAATTTTCCAAACCAAAGCCTGGCAATAAAAATGTCAGTGAGGGATGGAGAAAATTGAGGGGAGTATTTTAAAAGGAAAAAAACCAGGGAGATGCTTTGCACACACAGTGATATGTGTTGACTTCTTCAACAAAGGTTAAATGCAAGCCGTGACTTCTCAAAAAGGGCACGAAGGCGGAGAGCTGGAGCTAATTTTCCAGAACACTACCTAGAAAGGCTGTGTTCCATAAAGGAATTGGTTACACAGTATGCTGGTGAGCTTCCTTCTCTATGTCATGGGCTGTCCATCTGGTCGCACTGCAGGATGGGGTGTGCTAAAGGGGATAGGGAAAGCTGGTATGCATCGTCCTTTACAATTTAAAATGCACTGTCATGAAAGGGATGGGATCTGTGCTAGCCTCACAGCTCTCCCAGGTGTCTGTCTTGGGGCTGAGCATGGGAGAGGCAGTGGGTCTACACCTGTACCCAGTTAGTTAAAACAATGTTGGAGAAGGAAGCCAGATACTTTATGTCATTTCAAAAACCTCCATCCTATGTGGCCTCCATTCTTTGGGGCCAAACTTTCCTGAAGTCCATTAGTTTGATAATAGCAATTCTCTAGGCATATAAATATTGTGCAACATAATGCAAAACTATAATAAATCGACTAATTCTGCAACTCTCTAAAAGAGATAAAAGAATGTATCTCATGGGAAACAGCATTTCTCATATCTATTTCAGTATGCCAAATCACAGGTACAGACTAGGTAAGGGGAGGAAGACCAAAGAGTCTTTCTACTCAGAAAGACACCCCTAGGTGGTAGAAGCTCATGAGAAACAAGCAACTGTCCTTGTTCTTTGTTCACTTGATCCTATCCCATTGCAAAATGCTGCCACTCTACTGAGATAAAAGAGAAGTATGTCTTATTAAGCCATTATGAGGGAGGACTGAATCAAGGCCCAAGCAGACATCAGACCACACCCGACCCAGGTCAGTCTCTTACATGGAAGGCCTGTGATACGAGCCTCCTATGTACCCACAACTGCACTCTTGATTCTCAGGGTGAGAAATGGGGAAAAGAAGAACAAAAGAGAAAACAAAACCAATGCATTGGCAGGATGAGGTGATGCAACTTCCCATTCATGCAACATCTCATTAAACCCCATCAGTTACTTCCAAAATCCGGAAATTTACTTCTTGACACTTAGAAGAGAGATGGCTTTAGAATGAGCCTTGCTGGAATCAAATCCTGGCTCTACTGCTTACTAGCTATATGGCTTGGGCTCTGTCTGCAGCTTCGGCCTCCTCATCTGTAAAGTGGGAATCGTAATACCTTATCCTAAGAAGTTGTTAGGGGAATTCAACGAGGTTGTGTGTGCTATTTATGGTAAGGTGCCTAGCCCGTAGCTCCTAGACAGCACATAATCAGTGAATGTTAGTCCCCTCCAATCATTTGCCCTCTCTTTCCTTTTGAAAGAGAATTTCTAGGCCAAGGGATGAGAGGCCAGGCTATGTGAAGCCTGGAGTGGGAGAAACGATTGGGCGACTAACCAGTTCCGCTAAAGCTCTGGGCATCCCCATGACATCAACGGTGCCAGTTTTATTTTCAGACACTGAAAACAATCTGGTCAATTTCTATCGCAGTCTTAAAGGTAGTTTTCCTTAACCATAAGCAATTTTACTGCTGGGAAAATGTTCAGCATTGTCGCATTTGAAGATGTTACAAACTAATAAATGAATACAAAATGAATAAATGGGTGAGTGGATGCAAAAGCAAAATTTTAAAAGATGGAGAATATGCCATTTTCCAATCGTAACCCCACTGTTGCCTTAGCAATTGGGCCCTTGGGTGAGATGCTCTACAAAATTTGTGCTGCTCTTCCCTCCTCTTTCCTAACGTCCATATCCCTAAAACAGCAGTGCTGATATCGGAAGCCAAGAGCAAAGACTGGCAAAATCAGCAAGCGCCCCCACTGTGTGCCAGCCATTTTAGAGCAGATAAAGTCATTAAGTAAAAATTTAACAACGTATAACCTTTCTGCTTTACTCTGCGAACAGCAGGTAGCTTCCCTTTCAGAGACAAGAGCCTGCATTGAAGTCACCAGTAAGGAGGACTTGACCTTCATTTTCAGTATACGCAGCATTAAATATTCATAATCCACATAACGATAGCATAAGAAGTAGCGTTTAAACATGAATCAAAGGAATAAATATCTTCACACATGTGAGTCATCCTTTCCCAGAATGCCCCTAGTAAAAATGCAAATACCCAGAGCTCTGGGCCTCTGTCTCTTCCAACTTTCTCTTGAAATTCTGAAAGCAACAGGGACTGCTGCATTATGCAATCCACGATTCTCGCTCTCATGCTGACACCGGTGGGTCTTTGTTTTTTTTCCCTTATCTGTTAGATAAGAATTGCTGTTCTTGTGTCAAAGGGAGGAAATAGACAAGGATGGAAGCAGCAATGGTGACATTGGCACCCACAGGGTGTCTGCAGGCACTCTTGACTTGGTTGTACAGTTTCTAAAAAATCTTTGCTTCACAAGGATCAGAATGTGTGAGGACAGGGATGGCGTAGGTGTCGGAAGACATCAGAACTAGGAGCTAAAGTGACGTGTGACATAAATTGGGCAGGAGTCCTTTTAAAAAGAATGAAAAAGAAAGGGAGCTTTCTGTACACAATCCACCTTGTGTGGCTAATTGGAAATCTTTGGGGAGATGGTGTGTGCAGGGCTCAATGCCTGTCTGTGCTTGTTAAGGCACTGATGTGATGTCTGACCAAAGACTTGGTCCAGAGACATCTTCCTCTTTTTCGGTGTTTCTTAGAGAGTCTACTGCTGGGATGATAAAGCATAATTTTAATAAGATTAGATGTAATTCTCCTTGGTTTTCTACTCTAGGAGCTCTGAGGACAATCTGTCTTAACTAGACACTAATCACTTGAGGCTACACAAATGAGTCTTCCCTTGCAATCACCCTAGGATCATTAAGACCAGGCCCAAGGAAAATGCCCTATGCTGGGATCTATCTTTGCCTAATGGCCAAAATCAAAAGGTGTGCAGTTGTCTTTGGAAGTGACTTATCCATCACCTCAAGATAGTAAGAAGAGCTTTGAAAGGTTAAAAAGATCATAAATTTGCCAATGATGACATTTCTCTAAACTACATTACTCATCTGCTGATGGACAGATGTAAAATAACCACCTGGCCTGCTTGTCCACTTGCACAACTGGAGCTGGCCTGCCTTGAGACATATCTGGTCCAGCAGACCACTGGAGCCTGTTTTATAAATTAATCAGCATTCCTCAAACTTTTTGAAGGGCTGGATGCAGAGAGCCTAGAATCTCAAACTTATACTACAGGACAGACCTCACCATTCTGCAGGGCAAGGGGCAGGCAGCTCTAGCTAAAATTCACCAAGACAAGCTATTTCACACATGTCTGTTGGATTAGATTCGCTTGTGGGAAAGCCTATATATTGTCCCCTGATTTATTTATTTGAAGGGTGTAAATACTAACTACAATTTATCTGGAGAATTCTGAGTGCTTTTTTCCAGGGTGATGATTTAGTATAACTTCCATGAGAAGTTTAAAGCTGCCTTTCCAAAATGCCCAGATGGCCAGCCAAACCATGAATGTGTAAAACTGGTAACAGTTTTGAATGAAAGACATGGATTTTAAGAATTTACATTCTACTTTCTCACTTTCTTTCCATTTGCATCTTATATGTGGCTGGAACTTCATTTTTTTCTCATTCACTAAGCTTGATTATAATTTTTTAATAGCTCTCACTGTGTTTTATTCCTATAAATCTATGGACTTACCACAGAGATGGCTTTAGAGATTCTACAGTAATTCTCACCCAAACTCAAAGTGAGCTTGCTTGCTGTCTTTCCCCAGGAAGATGGAAAACTCCCTTGTGCTGACTCCACTGATGGGGCCGCCACAGGACAGAATCTTCAGATATGGTCTCATGACCAAATGACATAATGAAAATGAAAAGTGTTGACACATGCACACATATGTTCATTGCAGCCCTGTGTACAATAGCAAAGACCTGGAACCAACCCAAATGCCCATCAATAATAGACTGGACAAAGAAAATGTGGTACATATACACCATGAAATACTACACAGACAGAAAAAACGATGAGTTCGTGTCCTTTGTAGGGACTTGGAGGAATCTGGAAACCCTCATTCTCAGCAAACTGACACGAGAACAGAAAGCCAAACACCGCATGTCCTCACTCATAGGTGGGTGTTGAACAATGAGAACATGTGGACTCAGGGAGAGGAGCATCATACACTGGGGGCAGTTGGGGGGGGGGTAGGGGAGACAGCAGGGGGTGGGGAGGAAGGGGAGGGTGGGGAGGGATAACATGGGGAGAAATGACAGATACAGTATGCACCTAAAGTAAAATAAATAAATTTTTTAAAAAATGAAAAATATCTACATACGTAACCAGAAGTTCTTCTTATAAACAAAGCCTTGCTATGCCAAACCACACAGTTTAGCAACAGAGAAGAAAGGCTAAAGCTGGGATGAGGCTAGGACAGTCCTCAAGCAGAATGTGAATAGCCTTGTTTATAACCTTACTGGCATTTTTGCTAGGAAAGGTGAGGACAGGACTGAAGTTACATCTTTGGGATAGACTATTTGCAAGTCCATAAAAGAAACTGGAATCAGAGGAGACTCCCAATGCTGTCTTCCCCAAAGCTAAGAAGAATCATAATTAAAGCCAAAGAACATTGAGACAGTGAAGGACATCAGGGAAAGAGGGTACACATTGGGGAATTTCATTCTTTTTCATCTCCTCACATAGAAATGGAGAACACCAGGATCTATGGAACAAAAGACTGCCTCACAGTAGACTGTAAAAAACGACACAATCCAAATCCATCTAAAGAGCATTTTATTTCTGAGAAATACAGAGGGACAAAAGATTAAAAAAATTAAAAAACGAAAACGGAAGGTAAGTGCTGGCTGAGGCATCTGTACTTCTAACCCATCACCACACTCACCTCCACATCAGGGTTTTTTCTCTCTGGGGCATACAGGCCATAAGCCCAAACCTCTTTCCTGAGCCCAGCATGGAAGTTGGCAGGGTCTGCACCCCACAACATCTGAGAACACCCCTGGAGAGAGATTGGAGAAACAAGACCAGGGGCTTTAGAGGATCTTCAGTTCAATTCAAATAGGGCCCAGAATCATTAAGAGTAAATATTTAAAAGGGGGCTTACCTTCAATGACATGTCAATGGAAGTCTTCCAAACTCAACAAGCTCTTCTCTTTCTTGGCTCAGGAGAGCTGACGGAGGGAGCCTGTGGAATCTTGCCTCCTGACAGCGTTTAAAGGACTCTCCATCTGAGATGGGTGACGGCAGCCCAGCCTCGCATGTGGGGATGGGCTGAAGGACCTCTGATAGTCTTAGACTTGGCTGATTCCCAGAGACACATTATTAAAGGAGATGTTCTTTATTTTCCCTGACTGACATTTTGGCCACTGCACCCAAATGCACAAAATTCTTGGCTGGTGACCAGATGGCTCTGGGAAATTCTGAGTTTAGGTGTGCATGAAATCATCACCATCCCGAGCCACAGGAAGGAAGCACTAAGCTCAGAATTCAGGCACACCAGGATCTGAGCCACCAGGGACACCAAGCAGGTTTCCTAGTATCAAAGTCTAGTATCCAACCACACCAGGGATAGAGTTTAAGTTCAAAACACTCACTCAGCGGACAATAAGGGCACCACACTCAAGGCCACTGTCACCAGAGTTGCCAAGTTCACAGCAAAACAGAAAATGAGTTAGACTCCAGCTCATTTCCCAGATACCATCAACTTCATGATTGCAATAGTATAGTTAAAACAAATTATGCCCTCAGGGTTGGCACCTGCAGGAATCAGGGCAGAACCAGCTACAACCTTGCAGTTATAGTCTGTGCCTCTTCATCCTTCTGCAAGGTCTTTATCATCTGTCGCCCAGGCTCACTCTGGAGCACCAGTCCATTCGACTGGTAACCAAGGAGTCTGCATGAGTGTTCACTCTAGAATTTCTCAAATGGCCATGGGCCTCCACCTCTGGGAGTCATCATGAACTCCTCCATCCATCTCCTTACCTTCCCATGTCAAGAAGCACCAGTGTGCAATGCTTCAGCTGAATACCTGGTTGGCAGGTGAAAGGATAGAACCATGCTTTCTAATCTGACCTCCAGTAAGACCAAAGCATTGGAAACCCAATCGAGAAAAGGATCCAACAACCATGGCAAGAATGGCTCAGACCCTCCTCTGTGGGAAACTGTCACCCTCCCAGAAGTTGCACATCCCCATCAAGTCATCTTAACTACTTGACATCTTCATTGTAAATACATCATCAGGAAACAGCTCTTTTAAAATAAAAATAGCTAGCAAGAGGGCTTGACCTCAGATACCTGTCCCTCCTATGCCAGCAGAATCAAAGTAACCTTCCTTCTGAGAACTTTCTTTTCCACTTATAAAATCAGGACAGAACAGCCCCAGCTTACTTCAAAAGTCTTCTGCACTGAGAAGGCTCTTGCAAAGGTTGGTGTTAAGGTAACTAAATGGATCAACATAAAGGCTCATGACTGTTTATGAAACGAGGGCAAGAAAGTATATCTGAATACTCACTTTGACGAATCTATGAAGTATATTACAAGTGCACCGATGCTGAGAGCAAAGACTAAGACAACCTGCAAAAGAAGAGGAGAATGCCATCACTTAAGAGCTGGGTCGGAGGATGCTTGTTTTTTTTGACACATGCAGCAGCAGCTTTGAAATATGGTGCCCATTACTCTTGGGAACCTGCTTGGAAATCTCACCCCTCCCCCAGTCCACCATACTCCCTCCAGGTTGGCTCCTCAGCAACCTCGCTCCTTGCCAATAGGGGTCAGGGTAGCCTTTTATATCTCAGGGCATTGGATTTTTTTTTTTTTTTTAATCTGGCCCTGTTATCTCAAAGTCCAGCTTCTCTGCAAATGAAGTCGATAAACTTCAGTGGGAAAAGAGCAGGTGAAAATTTAGGGTGATACAATTTTTCGTATTACAGGTAGGATCTGCAGGAACTCTAATAAAGGAATATCAATTTAGCTTCATTGAGGCATAATTTCCATATCACAATATTCACCTATTTTGAAAGTACAATTCATCAATGACTTTAGTAAATCTACTAAGTTATCCAACTATCACTGTATTCCAGTTTCAGAACATTTTCACCATCTCGGTAAGATCCCTACGTCTGTTAAATCCATCAATCCCCTTTCCCACTTCCCAGAGCACACTGATATAGTTTTTGCCTCTATACAAGAGATATCAATTTGAAGAGTGCAAATTTGCTCGTGCAAATGTGTGTATGTGTGCACATACATAAAGATATATTCATTGCATGTGTGACCTATGTGATTATAACATTTCTGAAATAGATATGAAAACAGTTTGGTTAAGGAAGTCAATTAGGCACTCCATTAGGCCAGTTATATGACAATCCTTGTCCTACTCTACACTCTTCAATCAAAATTAATCTCCATTGATGGAAGACAGTTTTGGCATCTCCTTCAGTGGATACCTGTCATGCTAAGGTCCATCAAATGAATATGTAGCAGATTACGCCGACACTGACACCTCTTCCCTCACTACACATTCTACTTTCTTTAATCTTTCAGAGAGGAGACTATTAATGTGAATAAAGAATAGTCAGAAATAAAGAAGATGTTTTCAGTCAACAATTAAGACTGAGAACAAAAAGTAGGCACCACCATTACACACAACACCTGGCTTCTAGGTCAACCTTTCAGGTATGCTAACATCCTGAAGAGACTGCAGGCTGAAGGGCATTGGAAGTCAGCCTCCTCAGTGCCCACTTATTAACATCTCTCAGGCCTTGACTGGTGGGCAGAGAGGAATCCCAGTATATGTAAATTCCAATGTATCATCCATCCCAAAGCATGATCAAGCTGTGTGTGTGTGTGTGTGTGTGTGTGTGTGTGTGTGTGTGTGTGACAGAATCTCTCTTTCACACAGACACACACACACACACACACACACACATAGTATTTTGTATGTATGCCAAAGTGGCTGACAGAAAATGAAATCTGCATGAGATACTCATTTAAAGCACTACAAAACTCCATGGAGCTCCTGGGGCAGAATGGTGGCTTGCACAGTCCAGAAAATAACCATTAAAAACACCGGACACTGTAAAAAGAATGTGCAGTTTCATAGCAACCAATAAAATCTCCATATAAACAGAGGTGTTAAAACAATACACCACTGAAGTTTATTTCGTTCTGCCATTTTCTTTTAAAAACTAAAACATGCTCCAATTGAATGCTGCAATCTATCAGTAATTATCATCCGCCCAGCACTAATCCCTCTTGGCTGCTTCACCTCAGCCCCTCCCCTCACACACATTCATTCATGTTCCTTTCAAAGGTACACACAAAAACAAGCAAACAAAAACATGAGCAGACCTCTGATTTTTCCTCTATTATCTAAAGGAGGCAGCAAAACAAAGAGCTTAAGATTAATTTTGATGTGTGCTGCTATTTCTGAGGCATAAGCAGTTAGACCCTAGCCCTGACCTCATTCTCAAAAAGCTGCAAAGAGAAGGGGTGTGGCCAGAACCCAGGAGAAGGGCCTCTTCTCCATTCATAAACAGCTGATTTAAGACTAATCCCTGTCCATTTGGCTCCCTGTGTATGTATCTGTGAATGCTGAGCATCTGTCAGAGCTGGCTAAAGCCACTGTTGCAGAAAAGGATAGGAAAGAAGTCCTTGCAAATGGCATCTACATCATTCTGTAAGGAACTTGAAATCTATGACCCCTGCAATGGCCGTGATTTCCCAGCATCCAATGGGCAACATAGCTGATAATAATTTGCTCCAGCTGCCTCCACTTGGAGTCTGTGATGGGGACTAATGTGTTCCTTATTTAAGCAAATCAACCAGTGACAGGAAGAGGGCAGGAATCTTGCTGCCCTCTGAAGATGAAAACTCAAATATCAGCATCTCTCTGATAGGGTAAGAGAGGGAAGAAATCCAGGAGGGAAATGACCTCCACAGCTCCCTGGCACTGAAGATTTTGTTGAATGGACCTGCTCTTGGGTCCACATGTTCAGCTGGAAGGTCTCCTCTCAATGAGGTACAGGATAGGCAAACTGCCTTACAATGCACTGTGAAATGCTCCCTGGGGAGATGATCTGCTGCTCAGTGTTAAGGTAACTGTACATTTAGTCTTGAAACTTGCTAAATGCCTCTTTATCATGTCAGGCTCAATCACATTGTCAGCCCAGATCCAGGTGCTGCAGAAAACACATCAACCCTTCGGATGTGGTCATGAAAACAGAATTTCCATCAGAGACTTGTCTTCTCTAGGACCCTAGCAAAGCCACCTTAGAAGTGTCAGTTTATTCTCTTTATCTCTCTAACAAATCCCCATTGTCTAAGAACTCGAAGTCTGAAAAAAACAAAATGGTTAGATTTTAGTCTATCTGGTAATGGTATTATAGAGTGCCCCAAATAGTAATCTAAGTATTTGACATATGCCAAGAAAAACAGAAGGTGGAAGGCCACTCAGAGTCATAAAATATACTTTTTTTTTAAGACAAGGGTCTTGCTCTGTCACCCAGGCTCAACTGCAGTGGCACAATCTCAGCTCACTGCAACCACTGCCTCCTGTTCAAGCAATTCTCCTGCCTCAGCCTCCTGAGTAGCTGGGACTACAGGTGCCTGCCACCACACCTGGCTAATTTTTTGTAGTTTTAGTAGAGACGGGGTTCCACTATGTTGGCCAGGCTGGTCTCAGACTCCTGACCTCAAGTGAACTGACTGCCTCAGCCTCCCCAAGTGTTGGGATTACAGGAGTGAACCACTGTACCTGGCTAAATATACTCTTTTTTATAGTCATTCATACATAGATTAATCCCATGCTATTATGCAATTAGTGATAAATCATATAGTACAGCTTTAGCCAATATAAAATGAACTATTGCCTAGATGGATCATTAGTAACCGGGTAAGGGTAGGAAAAGCAGGTGTCTTGTTTCAGCAGCCTCTCCTTTCCCAAAATGTCCTTCCTTTCTATATAGTACAGCTACTCTAATATCTGTCCAGGAAGGGCTGGGCCACTGGGAATCCTTTTGCAAGCTTCTGTAGTTTCAGGGACAAGGAGGACAGAAGCCCAAGGGACATGGTAAAATTAGGCCAAGGAAAGCACAGTACCCCAGAAAGCAAAGCATCCCTGCCCTCCAGCAGCTAAGCTGTTACAATAAGGCAATAACCAAGCATGTAACAAAGCACTGTCCCACACAAGGGCTTGGGGGCAGCAGTCTGATACATAGATAATTTGAGCATTGCCTCTAGGGCACTTCTGCTAACTTGCTCGAGAGCCTGTCCTCTTACTAAACTTGCCATCTGTCCAAGCTCAATGAATCACCTCAGCAACCTTGGAAGATATGAATTGCCACCTTCTCAGATTTACTGAAGACACCCATATGCTGTGTGGTAATATCGAGTACTCCATGTACCAGATTCCTAAAAACAAAAGCAATTTGATAATTGTCATTGGAACAATGGTGCTTTGAGTCATCTATTTTCAAAACTCAAGATCAAACAAGACATGTGTTTGCATAAAAGAATCCCAGGAACACACAAACATGGTTAATTTTTTATTTAAAGGGCAGGGCGCAGTGGCTCACGTCTGTAATTCTAGCACTTTGGGAGGCCATGGCAGGCGGATCACTTGAGGCCAGGAGTTTGAGGCCAGCCTATCCAACACAGTGAAACCTTGGCTCTAACAAAAAATACAAAAATTAGCATTTGTGGTGGATGAGCCTGTAGTCCCAGCTACTTGGGAAGTTGAGGCAGGAAAATTGCTTGAACCCTGAAGGCAGAGGTTGCAGTGAACCAAGAGCATGATACTGCATTCCAGCCTAAGCAACAGAGTGAGACTCTGTCTCAAAAAAAAAAAAAAAAAAAAAGTCTGTCTAACACCTGATGCAAAGGAGGAGCCTGGTGCTAAATGGGGACGAGAGAGGGGAAGTCCACAGCCACCTCCCTGGATGAAAATCCTGGCGGGCCCTGAAGATCTTTCAAATGTCTGACAAAGTTCATGAAAATGGAAAATAGTACAGCCAAGCATAGAGTGTTTCCCCCTCAGGTGATGCAGCACTTCAGAAAAAAAGGCAGATTCGGTGACGTGAGTATAGAGGTGACTGAGTCAGGAAAGCTGGCTTTTAGAGATGTTCCCTGTTCTAACCTGGATTAGAGGCGCTGGGATTAAGCCCATGTGCTTTCAGGGGGTGTGTGAGGCTTCATGGCCCTGGGAGACCGATTTAGAGCCAAGGCTCACAAAGGTGGCTCCCACCAGAATCCAGTCATCTGAGGAGTTTTCCTTCCAAAGCAGAGACCAGGACCAGCGAATCATGAGCTGGGGGAGGGGAAGGCTGGGCACCTCTTTTTAACAAGCTCCTTCAGTAAATCTGACATGTGGCCAAGAATGGGAGTCACTGAATTAAAGCCATTAGGAGAAACCACTTAGCTCAAGTCAGAGATTAATTTACAAATGTCGCCTTAACAATTAGCCCATTAGAACATATGTATGAGGCCTGCAGGCTTAGAGAATCGTGCTAGGAGTACTAGAAAAAGTACAGAGAGGAGGATGAATTCATTCTCTCCTGAGCAGGTCTTACACATTC